ATGTTCGCTTCAAGCTGCGTGGCTGCCGGCCGCCATCTTGGCTGGCAGTTAATTTGCATATCACCCTGATTAGCCAATGGGAAGCGTAGCGGAGGTATGGTTAATTACCATGTTTGTCTATTATTAGATAGGATAGCCTTAATGGCCCCCTGCCTAGAGGGCAGGGGAAACACATGGCTTTTACAAGCTGCCCCATCAGTTGAAATCTTTATTGTATTAAGGTGGAGCATCTTCCATTGCTCATTTCAGGTTAAATCAAGCTGTGCCCCTCACCCCTCCTCCTTTAGGTTCAATCTTTTAGGGCTGATTTTAGTCTTATTTTTTTTTAAATAGTTTTTTATTGATTTTAGAGAGGAAGGGAGAGAGAGACAGAGAGAGAGAGAGAGAGAGAGAGAGAGAGAAACATCCATGATGAGAGAGAATCATTGATCTGTTGCCTCCTGCATACCCCCTAATGGGGATTGAGCCCACAACCTGGGCATGTGCCCTGACTGGAAATCGAACTGTAATCTCCTTGTTCATAGGTCAATGCTCAACCACTGAGCCACACCGACTGGGCTAGTCTTATTTTCTGAACCCAAGTGATTATGGGTATATGCCAGAGTCCTGTTAAATGTGTCATGATTTGACCCCTTAGGTAGGAATTTGATTCTGGCCCACCTTCTAGCGGGTCCTCCTTGCATTGGACAAATTTAAGTATAACATAGATGTTTATGGAAGCTCCATTTAGACAGACAAATGGAAAATCTGGAGATGTCATATCTATGATTTACCAGTCTCTGGTGTCCCTTGCATGCTTATTCATCCACAGAAAGGGGCCAAGATTTTAAAATTTGAAAACAAAAGCAGTTTATGTGAGTTTTTATTCATGTAGGATTTGTACTGGACCCTTTCCAAAAAGGAAAAAAAAATAGAAAGTTTCTCATATGTACATAGGAAAAAGGGAGATGAGAAACCATCCTTAGAGAGCAGGGGAATAGATGTAATTGGACACTTGAGAGGCTCCCATCTCCCTGGCTGAGTTGTGACTATGCCTCTGAAATCTTCAGCAGCCAGAGGTCCATATCTCTGCAGTTCTTAATCCATCAGCAGAGAGCAGACATATTCCTCCGCAGAGATGAGTTTGCTCTTGGCATGAAACCCAAATGGATTTGTCACAAAATAATATCATGTACTATCTACTGGTGAGTCTGTGGGGAAAAGATCGAAGGTATTCTCACAATATGGAGACACCCTTTGGATAATCACAATGAACAGGGAGTGCCTCCTTGCTTCTGGGCCTGTGCATAGGCATGGAGAAGACCAAGTCCTAGTCTCTGCTTCAAGCAGCTCACTGTCTAGAGCAGCACACTCCAATGGAACTTTCCATGATGATGGAAATATTCTCTGTCAGCACCATCGAACACAATAGCCACCAGCCCCATGTGGCTATGGAGCACTTGGAATGTGGCTAGTGTGATTAAGGAACTGAATCTTAACATTTTTATAGAATTTTCATTAGTTTTAATTTAAACAGCCACATGTGGCTAGTGGTTCCCATGATGGACAGGATAGGGCTAGAGAGAGAATGAACGTATACACCTAACTGCAAGGGGCAAGCTTTCAGGAAAAACTAAGTGGAACAGGCAGGAGAACAGAGGAGAGTGGCTAATTAAATAAAATCCAAATGGAAGACTACTTAAGGGGCACATCACGTGGGTGCTCTCATGGATCAGACATTTCAATTAAGACAGCTGCTGGGTCCTGCCAGTTCCTGGTGTAATTCTCTAACAATTGCCTGCTGTGCCTTGTTTTACAGCTCTCTGAAAATGTGCCCTTAACTTTAGACCCTAGTCACAGTGGGTCAGGTTGCAATACGAGGTCAAGTTTGTGTTCCCTCCCCAAGGGACAAAATCCACGTTAGGACAGACACAGGCCGCTGGGCTATCTGTGGGTAGAAGCAGCATTTTCCTTACTAAATGGATCTTCTCAAGGACATGCGCAGGGCTTTGTGTAATATTTCCAAAAGTTCTGCTCTATGAAAGGACGTTTTTATACAGGTGTGACCAGTTCACTACATGCTTTTTCCATTAAAACAAATTTTTGTGACCCTCTGCAGTGGAATGAGGTAACTTTTCTTTTTCTTTTTTTTTTTTTATAAAATCAAGCAATACTTTATTGACAGCAGCAGAAATATCATGAGGTCCCTTAGAATTGGGGGATATGTACCTGTGGGGGGTGGGAGGGGCAATGGCATGGGTGTGCTACCTGGAGGGAGAGAGGGCTGAATGAGGTAACTTTTCTGCCCCATACTGGAACACTGGTCCCCCAGATACACAATGATTTGGGGTTTGTAAATTGACCCTATGATGAATAAGCTGCTTTCTAATGTGTGCCTGGTGCCAAATGATGAGTCAGTGTTGTTAAAGTGGAGGATCCTTGTCTGCCTGCACCCAAACTGAGTTATTTAGTTACAGATTGCATAGAAGAGGTATGGAATACAACCCTACTTTAGACCATTTGAGGTGTGGTATTTCTCATGAAAATATTTGTTCCCATCTTGATTTTAGCAGCTATGCTTGGTCGTACGCTCTGAAGTAGCCTTAAGAGCTCAGGATGTATTAGATTGAGATTGAATGGTTTTGTCCACAGATGGTTTGGGTCTATTGAATCCAAGGTCAATGAGGGATTAAGAAATACTGCAAAATTGTGTTATATTGTTCCTAACTCTTTACTTGATGACATATAACAGAATGTGTCAGCAAACAGTAGTGGAGTGGCTGAGGCTAAAAATATTACTTGTGCAAGATGTTACTTGGAAGAACCTATTCTACCAATTCTTGGACTAGAAAGTAAGAATAGAGTTTTAAATGGAGACCCAGTAGGATGATAGGCTTATGATTTTGGAGGGTTGATACAGAACTTTTAAATTATCATTATCATCATCATAATAAGAGAAATACATGTACATTATTAAAAACAAAAAAGGCAGAGAAAGGTTTAAATTAATAGTAAAATGCTCATTCTTCCTGACTCCTATTTTCATTCTCTAAACATAACTACTGTTAGCAATTTTTCTAGAAAATTTTTATGGATATATATATAGACAAATGGAAAAATACTCTCTGCACCTTGCTTTATTTATTTAATAGTATATCTTGGAGCCCTTTCCTGTCTATAATAATAAAACTGTAATATGCTAATTAGACCGGACAGCTGAACGACCTTCCGGACAAAGCTGTGAGGGGCCAGGCAAGCCGCTGCGGCTGCGAGGGCCGAGCCCCTTGCACGAATTTCTTGCATTGGGCCTCTAGTGTCATTATATAGGCTTTTGTTATCCTTTTTTCAATAGATTTAATTTTTTTATAGCAGTTTTAGGTTAACAGCAATATTGAGCAGAAGGTATGGAGTTTTCTTATATACCTTCTGCCCTCACACACAGTCTCCTCCATTTTCTTTCTTTTTTTCAGTTTTCATAAAGGTCTATTTTATTGTTGGTAGGTAATGCATTTAACAGTTAAATATATTAAATAATATATGGGTGACTGCATCCTCCATTATTAACAATCCCCATCAGAGTGGTACATTAATTATAATTGATTAATCTATATTGACACATCATTATCACCCAAAGTCTATAATTTACATGAGGGTTCACTCTTGGTGTTAATATATTCTATAGTCTTGGACAATTATGTTTCTTGCTTCTTTTTTCCGTTTAGTGACTTTTTTGGATTGATTTTAGTTATTGTTGTTGAACTTGCATGTTTATTTTTTGAAAGAGTTGAGGTTACAGATTATCTCTTAGTGGTTATCCTTAATTTTTGCTATAGGAAATGGATATTAAAATATACTTTATTTTTAGAACAGTTTTAGATTTACAGTGCAAAGCTAGTACAGAAAGTTCCCATATGCTCCACACCCAGTTTCCCCTATTATTAATATTGTACATTTGAGCTCTTGCCAGTGTGGCTCAGTTGGTTGAGCGTTGCCCCGTGCACCAAAAGGTCACCAGTTCGATTCCCGGTCAGTGCACATACCCAGGTTGCAGGTTTGATCCCCAGTCAGGATGCGTACAGGAGGCAACTGATCTATGTTTCTCCCTCACATTGATGTTTCTCTCTCTCTGTATCTCTTTCTCTCTCCCCCTCTCTCACTTCCCTTCCTCTCTTTCTTTCTGTCTCTAAAATAATAAAACATATAAAAATATGGCACATTTGTCACAATTAATGAACCGATATTGATACACTATTATAAACTAAAGTTCATATTCCATTCAGATTTCCTTAGTTTTTATCTAAAGTCCTTTTTCTGTTCCAGGATCCAATCTAGGGTACCATATGACTTTCCATAACTATATCTCCTTAGACTCTTCAGGCTATTCCAGCTTCTTAGACTTACTTTGTTTTTGATGATCTTGATAGTTTTGAGGAATACTGGTCAAGTATTTTTTAGGATGCCTTCAATTGGAATTTGTCTGATGTTTTTCTCATGATTATACTGAGGTCATGTGTTTTTAAGAGAAAGACCACACACATACTATAGCACCCTTCTCATCACATCATATGCAGGGTATATACTATCAATATTACTCATCACTGTCCGTGTTAATCTTGATTATCTGACTCTCCAACAGTGAGAAACCTAGCTTCTACAATCCACCATTCATTTACTTATTTAGTTCCAGTGAGAATGCATAGCTGTTTTCTTGAGACTTGATAATGTATATACCCCCATGGGAAACTACATGCCGATCTCAAGGGAATGATAGCTGTCAAATTCCAAAACAAGCAGCATTGAGCAGATGAAATGGAAGATTCTTTGTGGAAAGCTTTTCCCCAGAGTCTTTTCAGTTATGTATGATTTGTTAGAGCTACTAGTCTAGGTGTAGGTTCTAAGGTCAGGGAGGGAGGTACCCTGAGTTGACAAAATGCAGAGTAGCCTTTGTGAAACCTGGGGTGGTGTGAAAGATCTTAGCCTATTTTCAGTGGAGCTTTGGGCTCCAATATTACCTGTTACAAAAGTCATACATAACATGTAGAAATATTTTTGTAAGATTGTACTTTATGTTCTATACACTTGAGCTTTCACACTTCTAGTGGACTGAAGGATGTATTTTTTGGGGGGGGGGCAGGGATAAATTGTTTGTGGAAAGATATCAATTCATTATATCTTTGGGAAGCTTCAAATGATCTTCTTTTGTGGCATTACCTTCATGACACTATCTAAAGAGAAATGACCATTACAAGAGAGTATTTTAGTATTATTTTGTTTCATGAAAATATAGTTAAAATTAAAAAATTTTATTTTTTAGGATCTGCGGACTTTGATTTTGATCCGAGTGATGCATTGAAAGAAACTTCCTCAGTAAAGCGTGAGTAGTAAATTAAATAATCTATTAAAAGCAAACAATAGCAATTAATATGTACCATCCACTCAGAATACATACTCAAGGAAAATGGGTGGCCTGTATTGCACTTGATCGGATAAAATATGGGTATCATAAATTATATTATTCAAAAGAAAATTTGAATATTTAAAATTCTTTATTTCTTTTGTGGAGAATACCAAGCAATATGTAATAACTGATACAGCATTTTCTCCAGCTCCTGGCATAGCCTGTACTGGTATAACATGCCAGCAGGCAGTGGCCTCCAAGCTCAGAATAAGGTACTTCCCTACTTCAGAATAAGGTACTTCCCTACCTCAGAATAAGGTACTTTGAAGTGAATAAGGGATTTGTTTCTCCTTTTAGATTAAAAAAAAATGGCTTTACTTAAGATGGTGTCTGCATGTAATCTCTCAAATGGTAAGCTTTGTTATCAGCTTGTCTTTACATTTAAAAAATGTGTGAATGCTTAGAAAGTAAAGCTGAGATTTTCCTTGACCCTTCCCCATCCTACTAAAACCCACTCCCATCCCAAGAAGGAACGGCTGATTAGTGTTCTACGTCATTATGCACATCTATACACATAGTTCTTTTTTTGTTTGTTTTACATAACGTGTGTAGGACTTTTTAATTTAGTTATATGTATATTATTTCATAACTTGTTTTTTTAGTTAATATGTATCAAAAGACCTGAGTGAATATATGTAATTATATTAGTTTCCTAGGGCTGCCATAACAAAGTACCACAAACCGGGTGGCTTAAAACCACAGAAATTCATTCTCTCAGAGTTCCTGAGGCCAGATGTCCAAAATCAAGGTATTGGCAGGACTATGCTCCTTCCTAAGGCTCAAGGGGAGGTTCTTGCCTCTTCCAGATTCTGGTGGTGGTAGCAATCCTTGGTGTTACTTGGTTTGCCGCTGTGGCATTCCAATCACTGCCTCCATCTTCACACGGCCTTCTCATTTGTGTGTGTCATTTCCTCTTCTGTTTCTTATAAACACACTTTTTGTTGGATTCAGAGCTCACCTGGGTTATCCTGTGTGGTATCATTTCTAGAACTTTAACTTAATTACATCTGCAAAGATCCTTTCTCCAAATAAGATCATATTCCTCGGTTCTGTGGATTAGGTCATGGCTATATATTTTGGGGGCCACCATTTAACCTACTGCATTATTCATATACTAGTATCTCAGACACAAACCTGTGCTTCGTGGAACTAGAATTTCAGTGATGTGACTGTGGACATGGCCATTTTGTTACTGGTGGACATGTGGTTTGTTTCCGTTCTGCACATTTACAAATAGGGCTTCAGTGAACATTTCTTGTCCATATCCTTTGTGTCCAAGTATAGTGGAACTACAAGGCCGAAAGGTATATATATTTTATATTTTAACAGATTTTGCCAAATTATTTCTAAAATGAATTTACCATTATGTACTTCCATTGATACTGTTATAATAGTACCTTTTATCCCAGCCTCACACCACCACCAGATTTTACCAAACAAAAACATTTTACCAATATGATGGACAAAATATCTTATTGCTTATTATACATTTCCCTGATTATACTAAGATGGAGCATTATCCTATATAATAAAAGTCTAATATGCAAATTGACTGAATGGCAGAATGACCGGTCACTATGATGAGCACTGACCACCAGGGGGCAGACGCTCAATGAAGGAGCTGCCCCCTGGTGGTCAGTGCGCTCCCACAGGGGGAGCACCGCTCAGCCAGAAGCCCTGCACTGGCTTAGGCTGTCAGTTGGACATCCCCCAAGGGCTCCCGGACTGGGAGAGGGCGCAGGCCCTGCTGAAAGACTCCCCCCTTCCCTGCCGAGCGCACAAATTTCGTGCACTGGGCCTCTAGTTTTATATATTTATTGACCATTTGCACTTTTCTCTTTGGTGAATTGTCTCTTCATATTCTTTCCCCATTTTTCAACTGGGCTATTGGTTGTTTTGGGGGGTTTTTTTATGCGTTTGTGGGATCCCTTTGTATATTGTGGATTGAGAAAGGCAGGAGCTCTGGCATCAGATTTCCTGTGTCTGAATCCTGCCTCTGCCACTTATTAACTATCACCTTAGGTGAGTCACCTGACTTCTCTGCTCCTCAGTTTTCTCATGTGTTACATGAGGCTAATAATAAGCACTACCTCCTAGGATTATGGTAAGGATTAGATGAGCTGGCCCTTGTGAAGAACTATGCAAATGACTTGATATAAGGTGAGTGTTCAGTGTGTGTGTGTGTCATTATTGTTGTTCTTTGACTGATTTGATTGGAAGGATTGGGTCTCCAGTGTAAGAGTCAGGCATACATACGAAATGCTCACCTGCTTACATTGATCAACAGACTAAATGCAATTTCCTGTCAAAATCCCAGCTAGAGTTTTGCAGAAATAGACAAGCTGATCCTAATTTCAAAGTACCCAGAATAACTAAAAAAATCTTGCAAAAGAAGAAAAAGTTGGAGGACTCACACTTCTCAATTTCAAAACTTACTACAAATCTGCAATAATCAAGTAGTATGGTACTGGCATAAAGATAGACATAGAGCTCAATGGAATAGAATTGAGAGTCTAGAAATAAACCCTTGTATCTATGACCATTTTATTTATTTATTTATTTGTTGTTAATCCTCACCCAAGGATATTTTTCCATTGATTTTTAGGGAGAGTGGAAGAGAGAGGAAAGGATAGAGAGAAACATCGTGTGAGAGAAACACATTGATTGGCTGCCTCCTGCACGAGCCCCAACCAGGGCCCAGGCTGGGGAGGAGCCTGCAATCAAAGCACGTGCCCCTGACCAGAATCGAACCCAGAACCCTTTGGTCTGCAGGCCGATGCTGTATCCATTGAGCCAAACTGACCAGGGTGACCATTTGATTTTTAAATTTTTTTGATTTTAGAGAGGAAGGGAGAGGGAGATAGAAACATTAGTGATGAGAGAGAATCATTAATTGGCTGCCTCCTGCACGCCCCCTACTGGGGATCAAGACCAGAACCCGGGCATATGCCTTTGACTGGAATCGAACTCGGGACCCTTCAGTCCACAGGCCGACACTCTATCCACTGAGCCAAACCAGGTAGGGCCCATTGATTTTTAACAAAGGTACCAAGACTATTCAATGGGGGAAAGAATAGTCTCTTCAATAAATGATGTTGGGACAACTAGCTGGTCACATGCAAAAGAATGAAGTTGGACCCCTGCCTCACATCTTATACAAAAATTAATTCAAAATGGATCATATACCTAAAACTATAACTCTCTTGGAAGTTCATTTTTATGTATGCTGTGAGGCAAGATCTTAGGGTATTCTCAGGTTTTTGCTGAGCATGCACACAGTCCTATACATTCAGGTAGCCTTTTAGATTCCTAAGAAAAAAAATACAACTAATTTATTATCGGTGGTTTTAATGAAATTAAATTAACATCTCCAAAAACAAACATGATCTAAAACAAAACAGAAAAACTTGTTAAGTATAAACAGACCACCAATTAGTAAATTTATTAATTTCCTACTGGAGGGCTTTTAAATATTTACATCACCTTTTCAGTCATATGCCTGTCCATCGGATTTTACTCATCAGCACGCATCAGCCAGTGTGTCTGGGATGCATAGGACCACCAGTACAAGATGCCTTTGGTTGCACATGATATCTTGGGTTGAATGATATCCTTTAAGACCACATCACTCTGCCATCCTTTGTTTTTTCTATTTTAGCTTACATTTTATGCAACTAAAATTTCAGACACAGGCCTGCCCATTTCTCCTTAGCTCAATTATTTTTCTGGCAGAGAATGTTCTTCTTTGTATATTGTACATTTCTTTTTTAAAAAATCCCTGAACCACCTAGGTCAGGGTATTGTAAAAGGCTTTCAATAATCCATTCAGTAATGTTTATTGAGTACTTGCTTGCTGCTAGGCACTATTCCAGGGCTGGACTTACCAGGTGGCCTAGGTCAATTTCCTCATTAAATTATTTTCTCTGGAAGGACATAGACAGTACATAAAATAATTTCAGGTACTACTGAGTAGTCTGGAGTAAATATAGCAGAGTGATGGGACAGGGAGGGCCCAAGGATGTGGTAAGGGGTAACTACTTAAAAATGGTAAAGGACTCTCTGGTGAAAGTTGACATGCATGGAGCCGGGAAAAACCCTTGAAAGCCAAGGGATTAGATGAAAGAACCATACAGCAGAGAATTAGCTTGGCTCTAGGGCTTGGAAGGTAGTCTATGTGATTAGGAGTGTGGATAATGTTAGAGAAAAAAAACAGAGAAGTTCCCAGGAGATAGAGCATATAAAGTCTCAAAGGCATAGTGACACTTTATTCCAATTACAAGAGGAAGCTCCTGGAGTATATATTTAAAAACAGCTTTATTGACATATAATTCACGTACCATACAGTTTACCGGTTTAAAGTGCACAATTCTTTGGTTTTTAGTGTATTCACAAGGTTGTGCATCCATAACCACAGTCAATTTAACATTTCTGTCATCTCAAAAAGAACGACAACCCACTGTACCTTTTACTTATCACTCCCTAATCCCCTGATTCTTCCTCACCCCCCAGCCCATGGCACCCACTGATTTCCTTTCTGTCTCTATGCATTTTCCTATTCTGGTCATTTCATATCAATGGGGTAATATAATATGTGGACTTTATGTTTAGTTTCTTTCACTGAGCATAATATTTTCAAGGTTCATCCATGTTGTTTTCGGAATTTTGTTCCTCTTTCTCTCCCCCCTTTTCTCCCTTCCTTCACTCCTTCCCACTGTCTCTCCTTCTCTGTCCATCTTTTTCTCCTTCCCTCCCCCTACATCCTTCCATCTTTCTCTGTGTGTAATCATCTCACAGGGGAATTCACTTCTCCTCTTTTCAAATAAAGCTTTGTATGAGTGTACTCTTTTCCTTGGAATACCATGGGTGCCATCATTAAGCCATGCCTGGGAGAACCTGACCAGTTTTTTTTTGTTGTTTGTTTGTTTTTCATACTTATCTGAGAATATTTTAACAGAGGTACAATGCCCTTGACCAGGAATCAAACCTGTGATCCTTCGGTCTGAGGGCTGATGTTCTGATCACTGAGCAAACTGGCCAGGGTGAACCTGACCAGTTTTATTTACTTTTAAAAATATATATATTTGTATTGATTTCAGAGAGGGAGGGAGTGTGAGAGAGAAACCTCAATGATGAGAGAGAATCATTGATTGGCTGCCTCCTAATGGGGATCGAGCCCACAACCCAGGCATGTGCCCTTAACTGGAATCGAACCTGGGACCCTTTAGTCCGCAGGCCAACGCTCTAGCCATTGAACCAAACTGGCTAGGGCTATATACTGTTTTATTATAGCACATATTATAAAGAATCACTCCTGGTAGGAATGCCATATTGCTGACAGTGTTTGCTGAACAGCAAAGAATCCTTTCTAAGTTTTATTTTGAGAAAGGCTTCATAGAAATAGGTTTCTTTATTTTAGGAACTCGCTGCTTTAGTGAAGTTGACTACTCTTCTAATTCCTTTATAAGTAACTAGAGTTTCCTCATCTCACTTATCCTATTTAAAGGCTAACAACAAGATCTGTCGCTAATATTATCTTAAAAAGTGCACAGATCCAAGCTTATGTTCCATATCACCGCAGGCTCAGGCTCTGACAGAGCAACTGGTTGCACATGCATGTAAGGAAGGCCCTTTCTTGAAATGGCACCTGAAGATCTTCAGAGAAACCAGACTTTTCTAGAAACTGTGCATAGTAAGGCAGAACTCCCCAAAGCTATAGTAATCAAGACTTGTGTGATATTGACATAAGGATAGACATGTGCAGCAAAAAAAAAGAAATGAGAGTTCAAAAATAAACTCTTACATCTATGAATTGATTTTTTTAAACTGGGAAAACAAGTATTTTTATGCCAGAGCTGTTTGAGTCATACAGATTTTGTTGTTGTTGTTGTTGTTGTTAATCTTCACCTGAGGATATTTTTTCCATTGATTTTTGGGGAGAGAGAGGGAAAGACAGAGAGAAACATCGATGTGAAAGAAATACATCAGTTGGTTGTCTCCTACACGAGCCCTGACTAGGGCCCAGGCCAGGGAGGAGCCTACAGCCAAGGTACATGCTCTAGACCAGAATCGAACACGGGACCCTTTGGTCCACAGGCTGACACTCTTTCCACTGAGCCAAACTGGCTAGGGCCATATAAGTTTTAAATTGTATTTCTTCCTGCTGGATTCATCCTTTCATCATTATAAAATGTCACTCTTTGACTCCTGTAATAATGTTTGTCTTAAAGTATATTTTATCTGATATAGTTACTCCAGCTCTCTTATGATTGCTATTTGCATTCTATAGCTGTATCTATCATTTTACTTTAAATTAATTTATATTTATTTTTCCTGAGTAGTCAATAATTATTGAGTGATTGCTGTATATAAACCTAAACCTGTTTCATCTCTGCTTTCCCATTACTCAAATTTTCTTTCTCTCTACTACTTCCAATAGTTTAACAGTTACAGCACAGTCTTGATATTTAAGAGAAGAAACTATTGGAAAACTTGTACATGGCATGCCTTGTAATTGATGTGAAAGAATTCCACAATTTTGAAGGAATATGGTTAAGCCCATAGACCTAATATTGGCAGTAGTTGCCACACTGATATAAAATATTTCCTTGGTGTTATAACCACTTTTAGTTTATAAGACACTCCCATACTCTACGGGGAACATAACTTCCATCCATCCATGGGCAGTAGTGTCTGTGGTTATGCTGCCAGGTTGATAGTGGTGGAAACCAAGGCTTGAAGCTCTCAAGGGTCATGCTCCAGCTCTGGAACTCACTGGACCATGTGCCCACCTTTAACAGATCTGGGAAGAAGCCCCAGCTCCATTAGTCACAAGTTACATGTGGGACAACATCTACCTCACCACCCATCCTCTGAAGAAATGTGAGCAGAACTTGTCTCATTTAAACCTCCTACATCTCCTTGTCAGCCTTCTCTAAGTGATTCTCAGAGGCCTGCGAGGAGCCTCAAGGACCAAGACCAGGGTACGCTACTCATGATGTGACTTCCCTGAGCCATGAAGTGGCTGCTATATTTTGTTACTAAACATGCTCCTCTTGCTGTCCCCCTCCCTCCTTTAGAGAGATGGGACCATGTCACTACCACAACCAAGAGGCCTGGAACGACCAGAGCTCCGGCAAAGCCTGCAGGTAACATGCTACTCTAATGAGGGCAATGAGGAAAGACCCCGTGGAGCTCCCTCTGGGGTAGTATAGTGTCCAGATGAACTACCCATAGTTTTAAGCCCTGTATATGCAGTGCCAACCAAGACCTTTATCTGAACATTGGATTTAACTTACTAGTAATAGAGGATATAGCTGGCCAAATCACTGTGTCTTTTTTTTTTTATGAAAAGTTTTGCTTGGGAAAATTTCAAGAGAAAAACCCATTTGGATTTTCTTCCCCTTTCAACCATTTCACATTCTAAAATCAGAGAAGATGTAATTGTATATGTTTTATCACCCCCCGCCCTCCGTCAAATGCTTTCTCAGGCTGTTGGAACATTTTGGATGACATTTATTTTACAGTGTCATTTTCAGTAAAGGATTTTGGAACTTGGTGTTTCTTTGTGACTTTTTCCTGAAGTTGTGTTAACCTTTGTCCAGATGGACCATCTTACTATTCAGACATCTTCACTGATATAAAGACAAACTTAGCCTTGGAGTGGGAGATGCAATCATTGATTCCATCTGGCAACTTGTTACTAGTATTTAGGAGCATGCTACCATGTGCCTTGAAGTAGGGTTACTTCTAAAGAGACAGTCTTGACTCAAGAGAGATTTACTGTTGCTTTATGATTTGCCCTTGTGTCTTCACATTTGCACCCTCAAAAGGGTGGGGTTTTTTTTGTGTGTGTGTGACTATGAAGTCTCCCTCTTGATTGCCTAGTTTATGCACTCTATACAGCTGGTTTTGAATATTGGGTTAATATCTGTAATCAGTGAGTATGCTGTGGTCTGATTGCTGGCCTAAGGAAAGCATATATAGAAATATAAAAAGTAGAAAGTCCTATATAATAAAAGCCTAATATGCTAAGTGTCCAGTCGTCTGGTCGACCGGTCCGCCTTTCAACCAATCAAGGCATAATATGCTAATGATATGCTAAGGCCACTCAACTGCCTGCTATGACATGCACTGATCGCCAGGTGTCAGACAGTCGACCGGTCGGCCAGTCGCTATGACATGCACTGACCACCAGGGGGCAGATGCTCCAACCAGTAGGTTTACTTGCTGCTGGGGTTTGGCCGATCAGGACTGAGAGAGTTGGACCGGACACGCCCTGGAGCCCTCCCACAGTCCCTCCCCAGCTGGCCAATCTCCCGCATCTCTCCCTGGTCCCGATCGTGCACCAGTGGGGTCCCTCGGCCTGGCCTGAGCCCTCTCGCAGTCTGGGACCCCTCGGGGATGTTGGAGAGCTGGTTTCGGCCGATCCCACAGGCCAGGCCGAGGGACCCCACTGGTGCATGAATTCGTGCACTGGGCCTCTAGTGGTAATATAATGCAAAGGCAGAAAGCAGTAACTTACTCCATCCTGCTGGTATTTTCATTATTGATATCTGTAGAAAGAGTTAGAACCCAATTTAAGTTCTTTTGGCTTAGTCCATTGATTAACTGAGCTCATGGGTGTAGTTTTGCCTTTTTGGAATCTTGCACCCAGTCGTTAATCAGTTGGCTGTTTCCTTTATGTTTTGGTGCCCATTGAAGGTGATGATTTTGACTTGGCTGATGCTTTGGGTGATCGAGATGATGGCCGCAGAAAGCCAGGTGCAGGAGGAGGAGGTAAGTTGTAGCTGGTTGAAAGCACTGGCCCACACTGTAGCTTATTGGTCGAGTTGTAGCTCATTTACTACTACAGCCCACAGAGCCACTCCTGGCTTGGCAGAGCTGGGGGCACTTCAAGGCACAGGAGAACCCTAAAACAATGTTCTCAAATTTTTGGACCCCCCAAATTATTGAGGATCTCAAGGGTTTTTGGTTATGTGGGTCATATCTATCAATATTTATCATCTCCACCCTAGCCCAAGCATGTAGGAGGTAGCTAATTGATGTTGATGTTTCTCTCTCATCGATGTTTCTTCTCCTCTCCCTTCGTATCTCTAAAATCAGCCCAGGGAAGCCCTGTCTAATGTCAGCCCAGGGAAGCCCTGTCCAGTTTGGCTCAGTGGATAGAGTGTTGGCTTTCAGAGTAAAGGGTCACAGGTTCGATTCTGGTCAAGGGCATGTACCTCGGTTGCAGGCTCCAGTCCCGGCCCCAGTCAGGGTGCGTGCAGGAGACAACCAATTGATGTGTCTCTCTCACATCTATGTTTCTCTCTCTCTGTCTCTCCCCCTCCCTTCCACTCTAAAAATCAATGGAAAAAACATCCTCAGGTGAGAATTAAACAAAAACAAAAAAAGTGAAATAAAATTAATAAAAGCATATTTTTTAAAAACATACATTTATTATCTTACAGTTTTAGAGGCCAGAAGTATGATCTGGGTTTCACTGGGATAAAATGAAGGTACTGACAGGTCTGCATTCCTTTTCGGGGTTCTAGGGGAAAATCTGTTTCCTTGTCTTTTCCTAATTCTAGATGCCACCTACATTTCTTGATTTGTGGCTACTTCCTCCATCTTTAAAGCCAGCAGTATAGCATCTTTAAATTTCTCTCTCACTCCCATCCCTCCTTCCATCATCACATCTCCTTCTCTGACTTTCTTGCCTCCATCTCTTTCCCTTATACGTGCTTTTGTAATTACATTGGGTCTACCTAGATAATCCAGGATAATCTCCCCATCTCAAGGTCCTTAGCTTAATCACATCAGCAAAGTTCCTTTTCCCATGTAAGGTAATATAGTTACACATTCAGGATTGTTGGCAGAATTCATTTCTCTGCAGTTATAGAACTTGTATCTACTTCTTCAAGGTCAGCAAGAGAATCAGAGTCTGCTTCCTCTAATGTCAGCCCAGGGAAGGCCTAAACAACTCTTTTCATGGGCTCACTTGATTAAATCATACATAATATTCTCCATTTTGTGTAATTTAGTCATACTGATTGGGCATCTTAATTCAGCCTGCAAAATCCCTTCACTTCTGCCATATGTCATAACCTGATTATGGGAGTGAAATGGTCCCTCTCATACTCAAAGGGCTGGGATTATATGGGGTATGTATACCAGCAGCGCAGGAGTCTTAGCAACTATGTTAGAGTTATACCTACCATATTCATCTAGGACAGTGGTTCTCAACCTTCGTAATGCCGCGACCCTTTAATACAGTTCCTCATGTGGTGACCCCCAATTTCATTGTTACAAATTGAACATAATTAAAGCATAGTGGTTAATCACAAAACAATACGTAATTATATATGTGTTTTCCGATGGCCTTAGGCGATCCCTGTGAAAGTGTCGTTCGACCCCCAAAGGGGTCACGACCCACAGGTTGAGAACCGCTGATCTAGGACATTAAGTAAAACTGGCATTCTCTTTCAACTGCTATTGTATAGTGAAGAATCTATTGACTCCTCATACTGTTTGGTGCTACTGCCTTGGTTCATTCTAGGGCCAGGTTTACTCACCATTGCTTTTACCTCATAGTGCAAATATCAACCCTGTAAAAAGGGCAAAAAATATCTGAGGATGATTATGAAAATAGTTATGACCTCATGGACCCCAGAGGTCCATGGAACAAACTTTAAGAACTTTCTGAGAAGATGACTACATATTTATGTAGCATCCTTATGTTTTCCTTCAAATCACTGAGCTCTTCAATATTAATGTGCAATGAGCATGTATTTGTGGAGTTGGGGCAGGAAGGTCATTTTTATATGTCTTCTGTGTATTAAGTTATACTTTTATAATTTCACTTTTGTGATAATCATATAAATTAGTTAAACCTTTTAGGAGGGCAATTTGACAAAGTCTTTGAACGAGCAGTTCTACTTCAAAGCATTTTCCCTCTAGGTGCACTTATGTATGTGTGCAGAGATACAGTTGGAATGGCCTTTGCAGCTTTCCTGTGTTTTGTATCAATCTAAAATTACTCTCACCAGGCCGGTGTTACTCAGTGGTTGAGTGTCAATCCAGGAACCAAGAGGTCACCAGTTTGATTCCTGGTCAGGGCACATGCCCAGGTTGCCGGCTCAATCTCCAGTAGGGCGCCTGCAGGAGGCTACTGATCTCATCGATGTTTCTATCTATCCCTCTCCATTCCTCTCTCTCTAAAAATCAATTAAAATATTTAAAAAAATTACTCTCAAATCTCATGGTTAAATTCATAAATTCTGAACTATTCATACAATGCAGCCATTACAAAATATGGTAAATCTCTAGAACTGACATGAAAAAAGCAAGTTACAGAACAGGATATATGTAGTATGACTCATGTTCTTATCAAATATAAGTATATGTGAACATGCAGACACACACACAGGGGCATGCATGCAGGTCTGAAAAGATTCATGGTAGCCATTTCTGGAGAGAGATTTAAGACTTACCTTTATATTTTCTCTTTTGCCATTCTACACCACTGGATTATTTTTTTATATTGAGCATATATTCCCTTTTTAATTAATTTCAACTTTAAAAAAATTAAAGCCATCTTTATTAATGAGGAAGAACTCTAGATGACATAACCTGGGAACACCTTAATGAATATGTCCTCCCGTCATTGTTCAGATGAGAGGAACTTGTCCAACGTCCTGCTGCAAGCTAACAATGCAGCTGGACTGGAGCCCAGAGATTCTGGCTTTACCTTGAGGACTTTTTGCTCTGCTGTATGCTGCCATTGGAAGTGCTTGCACAGGCAGGATAATGATGGCCCCAAAGGTGAGTTTAAGGTCAATTGATGCACCCTGGCTGAAGAAGCCCTGGCAAAGGCCTCTACTCATCCATAGGTTAACCTGCCCCCAGAAAGTTGTGGCAGCACCTCGAAGCCAAAAATATCAGCTTTGACTTGTAGTGTATTACTGGTCTGCTTTGCAGTTTTCTTAGCCCTGGAAGATTAGATCCAACAATCTAGAAAGCTGAAAAGGGGACTAATCTTTATGAGATAAGCACAGTGTGATCACAGAAAAAAGTGACCCTGGGCTCTCTAGAAAGGTTGTGTTTTATATACTCATTTCAAATAGAGAATTGTGTTACTTGCTCTAGAAAGATATCCTTTGGAGAAGAGTTTCAGTGTTTTACAAACCATTGGGATCAGGAAGGAAGAAGCTTCAGTTGTCTGAAAACTTTCCTTGTGTATACCACCTCATTTCTAGATGTTCTTACCTACGGCTATGTTCCCCCAACTCAGGACTACATGACTTACTCCTTAGTTTTTCAGATTGATAATAGCCATTCCTGGGCCCTTGAAGACCAGTCATTTATGCATCAGAATTTTTTAAAAATATATTTTATTGATTTTTTACAGGGAGGAAGGGAGAGGGATAGAGTTAAAAACATCGATGAGAGAGAAACATCGATCAGCTGCCTCCTGCACACTCCCCACTGGGGATGTGCCCGCAACCAAGGTACATGCCCTACACCGGATTCGAACATGGGACCCTTGAGTCCACAGGCCGACGCTCTATCCGCTGAGCCAAACCGGTTAGGGCTATGCGTCAGAATTTTTATTGGGGGTATAAAAATGACCTTGATGCTCAAATCAATCTTTAGTTATATTTATTTTTATATGTTTTTATTGATTTCAGAGAGGAAGGGAGAGAGAGAGAGAACCATCAGTAATGAGAGAATCACTGATTGGCTGCCTCCTGCACACCCCCTACTGGGGATTGAGCCTGCAACCCAGGCATGTGCCCTGAGTGGGAATAGAACTGTGACCTCCTGGTTCATGGGTTGATACTCAACCACTGAGCTGTGCCAGCTGTGCTCAATCTTTAGTTTTAAATTGACTTTTTCTTTTGAGGTAATTGTAAATTCACATGGAAGTGTAAGAAATATTACAGAGAGATCCTGTACATCCTATACCCAGTTTCCCAATGGTAATATCCTGTAAAATTATAATGTCACAGCCAGGAGATTGACATTGATATAGTCTAGTGATCTTATTCAGGTTTTCCCAATTTTACTTGTATTCATGTGGATGTTTTCCCTCTTATGCAATTTTTTAAAAATATATTTTTTATTGATTTCAGAAAGGAAAGATAAGGGAGAGAGAGATAGAAACATCAATGATGAGAGAGAATCATTGATTGGCTGCCTCCTGCACGCCCCCCACTGGGGATCGAGCCTGCAACCCTGGCTTGGGCCCTTGACTGGAATCGAACCCAGGACTCTTTAGTCCACAGGCTGATGCTCTATCCACTGAGCCAAACCAACTAGGGCATTGAATTGTGTTTTTTTTTGTTTTGTTTTGTTTGTTTTTATGTATTTTATTGATTTTTTACAGAGAGGAAGGGAGAGAGATAGAGAGTTAGAAACATCGATGAGAGAGAAACATCGATCAGCTGCCTCCTGCACATCTCCCACTGGGGATGTGCCCGCAACCCAAGTACATGCCCTTGACCAGAATCGAACCTGGGACCCTTCAGTCCGCAGGCCGACGCTCTATCCACTGAGCCAAACCGGTTTTGGCTGAATTGTGTTTTTATTGTAGTAAACATACATAATAAAATTTACCATTTTAAACATTTTAGTGTATGATCCATTGGCATTAAGTATATTCCCAGTATTTTTTAAACATCACCTATGTTTAACTTTTTGAGGAATCACCAAACTGTTTTCCACAACAGCAGCACCATTTTACATTTCCACCAGCAATGTACCAGGGTTTCAATTTATTCACATCCTCTCCAACACTTGCTGTTTTTTTCTTTTGATAATTTGTTATCCTAATGAGTGTGAAGTCCTATCTCATTATGGATTTAATTTGCATTATCCTAGTGTCTAGCAATGCTGAGTATGTTTACATGCATTTATTGGTCATTTGTGTATCTTCTTTGAAGACATGTCTATTTAAGCCCTTTGCCCATTTAAAAATATCACTGGTTTTTTATTGTTGAGTTGTAGGATTCTTTTATATAGCCTGGATTTTAATATCTTATTGGATATGTGATTTACAAATATATTCTCTTATTCTATGGATTGTCTTTTCACTCTCTTGATAGTGTCTTTTGTACAAAAGCTTTCAAATTTTGATCCAGGCAAATTTATCTATCAGTTTACCTGTGCTTTTGGTGTCATATCCAAGAAATTATCACCAAATCCAATATCATGAAGGTTTTCCCCTATATTTTTTCTAAGAGTTGTATTGTTTTAGCTCTTGTGTTTAGGTCTCTGATCAATTTTGAATTAATTTTTATATATGGTGTAAGATAAGGTTCCAACTTCATTCTTTGCATATCCAGTTTCTTGGAACCTTTGTCAAGAATCTATTGACCATATATGTGAGAGTTTATTTCTGGGTACTCTATTCTATTCCATTGGTTTATATGTCTGTTCTTATGCCAGTACCACACTGTTTTGATTACTATAGCTTTGTAGTAAATTTTGAAATTAAGAAAGTGTGAATCCTTCAACTATGTTGTTTTTCAAGTTTGTTTTGGCTATTTGGGGTCTTTTTAGATTCCATATGAATTTTAGGGTGGTTTTTAATATCTCTGCAAAAAATGTCAAAACTATTGGAGGTCTGTAGGTCGAATGTGGGACAACATCCACCTCACCACCCATCTTCTGAAGAAATGTGAGCAGAACTTGTCTCATTTAAACCTCCTACATCTCCTTGTCAGCCTTCTCTAAGTGATTCTCAGAGGCCTGCGAGGAGCCTCAAGGACCAAGACCAGGGTACGCTACTCATGATGTGACTTCCCTGAGCCATGAAGTGGCTGCTATATTTTGTTACTAAACATGCTCCTCTTGCTGTCCCCCTCCCTCCTTTAGAGAGATGGGACCATGTCACTACCACAACCAAGAGGCCTGGAACGACCAGAGCTCCGGCAAAGCCTGCAGGTAACATGCTACTCTAATGAGGGCAATGAGGAAAGACCCCGTGGAGCTCCCTCTGGGGTAGTGTCCAAGTGAGCTACCTGTCATTTAACCAATTGATTTTCTCTTTTATGAAGTTGATGATTTTGACTTGGCTGATGCCTTGGATGATCGAAATGATCGAGATGATGGCCGCAGGAAGCCAAGTGCAGGAGGAGGAGGTAAGTTGTAGCTGGTTAAAAGCACTGGCCAGCACTGTAGCTCACTGGTCGAGTTGTAGCTCATTCACTACTACAGCCCACAGAGCCATTCCTGGCCTGGCAGAGCTGGGGGCACTTCAAGGCACAGGAGAACCCTAAAACAATGTTCTCAAATTTTTGGACCCCCCAAATTATTGAGGATCTCAAGGGTTTTTGGTTATGTGGGTCACATCTATCAATATCTATCATCTTTGAAATTAAAACTGAAAAAAAAGTATTTATTAATGAAAAACAAACAGCATTAAGCCTATGCATGATAACATAAATAGCATAGTATCATGTGAAATAACTATGCTTGGCAAGATAAAAGAGGACTTTAGTGAGAAAAATTTTTGCAAATTGATATGACGGCTATCTTAGTGGAAGTGCTAGAGTCTCACTGCTGGTTCCAGATTCAGTTGTAACATGTTGTAATGGTTGAAGTATATGGAGGGAATCTGGCCTCATATAGCTATGCAGCTGGGAAAGGGAGGAATATTTTAATAGACTTTTCAGATCACTGTGGACATTCTTGGATAAGACACTAAAAACTTAAAACTCAACCAGTAGTTATTTCTTTCAGGTTAAGTGCAGTCTCTACATATAAAAGGCTAATATGCAAAGTGTCCCCTCGGGAGTTCGACCGGAAGACTGGGTGTTCGATTGCTTGCTATGACGTGTGCTGACCATCAGGGGGTGGCATGGAACGAAGGAAGGCCTGGGCCGGTAGCTGGAAGGAAGGGCCCAATCGGCCCTGATCACCAGCCAGGCCTAGGGACCCTACCCATGCACGAATTTCATGCACCGGGCATCTAGTGTGGAATATAAAATTGTATCAATGAACTTCCCATAGTTGAGTTAAGCCCCATTCTTGATTATGTACATTGTGCTTTGGTCGTTTGGAAAATATTGTTGCCCCTAGGTCCTTTGATCTTCCAAATAATGCCGTTTCATTATGCAATTCCCTAAATTCACTTTTGTTGATATTACCACCCATCTCATCAGAAAAAGTCTTTTTTTTTAAAAAATATTTTTACTGATTTCAGAGATGAAGGGAGAGGGGAGAAAGAGATAGAAACATCAAAGATGAGAGAGAATCATTGATTGGCTGCCTCCTGCATGTCCCCTACTGGGGATCGAGCCCATAACCCAGGCATGTGCCCTTGACTGGAATCAAACTCAGGACCCTTCAGTCCACAGGCTGACGCTCTATCCACTGAGCCAAACCAGCTAGGGCGGAAAAAGTATTTAAGTAGAGGGAAGTTATTATGTTCACAGTGGTAGATAAAGATTTTTGAAATTTTAATTCTTGTTTGAAATCTTATCATTGACAACAAATACCTCCAGGGGTTTTAAGTGACAGCCTATTTCATTCATTTTTAAGAAATCATCAGCCAAATATTTAAGATACCACAATCATAGTTTGCCCATCACTCAATCTTTCCTGTGAAAGTTGTCTTCCATGACACAAAGCATCTAATACAACTCAGAACTGAACCAATCACGCAGGTGCTTTTATGAATTAACTATAATGTTTTGGAGTGCAACAGAAATGCTTTAAGCATACTTTCATTTCATCACATAGAATATTAAACAATGTGTACTTAGTGGTTGATCTATAATAAAATTAATTACTGTTTCCTAGTATTAGTTTTCTATTGCTGCATAACAAATGATCCAAACTTAGTGAGTTAAGACAACACCCATTTACTATCTCAATTTCCTTTGTTGGGGAGTTCAGGAACAGCTAAGCTGAGTTTTCTGTTTAGGGCTTCATACAGCTTCAGTCAAGATGTTGACCAAATCTGTGGTCTCATCTGAGCTTGGGTTCTCTTCCAAGGTCATGTAGTTGTTGACTGAGTACATTTTCTTGCAATTGTAGAACTAATGGATCTTTGCTTCTCCAGGACCAGCAGGAGCCAGACAGTACAAAGACAGAGAGGGGTAGAGTGGAAGAGGACGACTAACTCTGTTGTTTCTAGTATCTGAATTCAGAGAAGGTCTCAACACTGTTTTAAAGGTCTCATCTGATTAAGTCAGGCCTTTCCAGGATAATCTCCCATTTGATGAATACAAAGCCATACTCATTTGGTGCCTTAATTACATCTGCTAAATCCCTTCACTTTTGTAATGTAATATAACCTAATCACAGGGGCAATAGCCATCCTATTCATGGTCCTGCTGGCACTCAAAGTAATGGGATATTATACAGGATGGGTATACTAGTGGGAGGGAATCTTGGGGGCCATCTTAGAATTTTGTCTACCACATTGATCAAGAACATTCTTAAGTGGCAATTATTGTCTGGGGTTGTTGGGCAACATTAACCTATACAAGTTTCTTGTCACTGAAAAATGTATTTTTGGCATTGAAGTATATATTTTTTTTTCTCTAGGTTTTTCGGACAAGGATCTCGAAGACGTATTAGGGGGTGGTGACTACAAACCAGACAAGGGTAGAGGTAGGGGCATTTATCTGTCCAAACAGCTTATTCTCATTTACAATGTGATTACATGATTAGCCTCTGGGAAGTCAGAGGTAGTTCCCAGACATCTGCGCTTGCAACTTGGGGTTCACTTGGAGTGATGCGAGCTTTGCAGTTCAAGGAGGAGAGTTTATAAGCCAGTTTGGAAAGGTCACACATTTTCTCTGATGTTCCTAAAGCCAGGGTGCTGCATGGGTTAACGTCTCTACGTTAGAAGAAGCCATTTGCCAAGGCAGCACCAATTACAGTAACTGAGGGTTACAGAACTCATTGGGAAGTCCCCCACCTGGGAAGCCTGTCACTCTTGGGATGGGAGAAGCAAAAATCATTGTGACAATCATTTTTTAAGGAGATCCATAGCAAGCCAAACATCTTTAAATATCATATATATATTAGAGAGAGAAGAAGAGGGATTGAGAGATAGAAACATCGAGGAGAAACAATCAGTTGCCTTCTGCTTGCCCCTACTGGGGATTGAGCCTGCAACCTGGGCATGTGCCCTGACTGGGAATCAAACCAGTCACCTCTTGGTTTATGGGTCGATGCTCAACCACTGAGCCACATTGGCCAGGCAAGCCAAACAGTTTTTAAAATATCTTTTTATTTTGACATAGTCTAATGCCCACAAGAAGTAAAAGCTGTGTATCTATCACCTAGTTTCCCCTATCTTACGTAATCATAGTACATTGTCAAAACCAGGAAGCTGATATTGGTATAATACTGTTATTAAGTCAAGCATCAACCTTATTTAAATTTTATTAGATTTTATATGAACTCATGTGTGTGTTTGTGTGTGTGTGTGTGCACATGTGTGCATCTAGGTCTATCACATTTTATCACAAGTGCAGATTTTAATAACCATGTGTACAATCTGAATTCAAAATGCAGAACTCTTCCATCACAAGCGAACTCCCTCATGCTAAACGTTCATAGTCACATCCTCCCCCAAAGCCAGTTATTTTTAATTGCCCAAAATACCAATGATGCAAAACTTTTATCATAATACTAGAGGCCTGGTGCACGGGATTTGTGCACTGGTGGGGAGCGTGGCCTGCAGGGATTGGCCCACTGTGGGAGCACCGCTCATCCCGGTCAGCTGAGCGGCTGTGGATCTGCCTCTGAGCAGCTGCTCCCTGCTCTGGCATCTTCTGTGGAGCCAGAGCACTCACCTCTCCAGGGGGCCCGGTCAGGGCCAGGACCAGGGACAATAGCACTGAGAGGAGGCGGAGTAGGCCTCAGTCCTGCAGTGGCCATGAACCCGCCTCCCAGCCTCTGGGGTCAGCTCTTCGAGCCCAGTGGTGGCGCTGCGTGGCCTGTGGGCATCCAGAGGAAGCGGCAGGGAGCGAGGAGGAGGAGCCTGGGGCGAGGAGGCAACAATTGCAGCCTGGGTTCCTGCCCATTGGCCCAGGGTTCTCAGCGGGAGCAGCTGCTCATCCTGGTCAGCCGAGTGGCGTGCTCATTGTGGTAGCGCACTGACCACCAGGGGGCAGCTCCTGCGTTGAGCATCTGCCCCCTGGTGGTCTGTGCGCATCATAGCGACTGGTCCACTGGTTGTTCTGGTCATTCCGCCATTCGGTCACTGGGCTTTTATTATATAGAATATGTCAAGATTTTATCCTAATATGGAGAGAATATTAGCCAAACTTGATATGACAAAACAGGTTGTGGTTGTAATTTGTGATTGTTACTTATGGTTGTAACCTGTTCTGATGGTAAGCTATGGTTGTAGCAGTTTGTGGTTGTAACTTGCTGTGATGGTACGTTGTTACAGTTATGTGTGTAAGAAGTTATACGTGTAAGAAGTTACTGGTGGTAACCCTGTGATACTCCCCACAGTCCTGGCAGTGGTACTAGCATTTGCTCCTTTTTTGCAGGAACTGTGTACTTTTCATATGGGAAGAGTGTTTTCTTCTGATCAAAGGATACTGTAGTCAAATTTGTCCTTCAGAACACCTTTCCAGACAGTGTCATCTTGAGTAAAAAGCTCTAAAGGCCTCTAAATGAAACTTGCAGGTGTCAGGAGAACATGGAACATTTAAAGGGCAAACCCAGCAAATGAGCCAATTACTCCTGGGTGACAAATGGTATTTCCAGATGGGGAGATTAGGGCAGTAGTAGTGTATGTATGCATGCACATGAATAAAAGTCTGAATGATTTTATTCCTTATTAAAAGTACATGCTTTAGCAATGAGGAAGTGTTAGGAAATTCTTTAATTAGGCTCATATTTGAACTTGTCTTGTAAAGAATCAGTTGTTAGCTCAAGTTTTACCCTCTGTCATTATGGATATCAGTAAAAGAAGATAAAAGGGGTTCTAGCAAAAAATACAAGTGTGAAACTGAAACATTTTGATAAGCACATGATGCATTTCCCAGGCACTCTCCTCTGTGCCAACATGCTAATGCCATGCGTGAAGATAAAACATCACATTTAAATAAATGATGATCTTCACCCTAAAAACAATTATAATTCATGCAACCTTGATTCTTAGGCACATAGACTCAACTATAGTTTTGGAGTGTAATTCTGAAATGTTATTTGTTATATATTTTTTCTCCAGAAAACATTTCTGCTGGCCTTATAGGAGCCCCCTGTCTGTAGGTGACAGTGACAGTCTTGTCAACAGGTTGCATCTGTTATCTCACCTCCTACCTTCCTATGAAATCCCTGTTGAGTTTACTGGTTGGTGGCTTGCTCAGGCTAAAGGAGCTGCTGGCTCTCCCTATTCACTTGCTACTGAGATTGCCACATTAACTGACAATACTGCAAGTCACGTGGGTCCCTTTTAGCAGCTGCAGTGCAGTTGCTGGTTTTTATGGCCTGTTTACTCCACCTCAGTTGAACTAGTCTGGGGGAGGGGGGAATGTGAGCAAGCCTGGGCAAAAAGGCCGCAGACTCCAGCTGTTCTCACTGTTCCCGAAAATGGCTGTCTTTGATTATCCACAGTTAGAGTTGCTTTTTGAGGAGATGATTTATTCATTCCCTCATGCCAGAAATCCTCCCCCTTAGTATCTTTTGAAACTGGAATATTACTTCTCTTTGCCTCCCCTCAAGCCCAGACCCATGTCATCTCTGCTTGGGTCATTACCTTAACCTCTTAACTGGTCTCCTGGATGTAGTTTTTCCTCCATGCAGTGGCCAGAGAGAACCATCAGGAATATGAAAGTGATCTTGTCAGACCTCTGCTTAAAACTATTGTATAATAATGAAAAGATAGCCCAGCTAAAAATGAGCATAAGATTTGAGCAGAAACTTCACAAAGGAAGTTATATGAAGATGTTCAAAGTTATTAAGGAACTGAAAATTAAAACCACAAGAGATATCACAACACACCCACAAGAATGGCTAAAATTAGACAGACAATATCAAATGTCGGTCTGGATGTGGAGCAACTGAAACTCATATATTGTTGGTGGGAATGTAAAGTTTCTTATAAAACTGAACATAGACTATGCATTGACTCTGCAATTTCACGTATATTCAAGAGAAATGAGAGCTTATGTCTAAAAAAAGACTTGTAAAAAAATGTTCATGGCAGCTTTATTTATAATAGCCAAATAAAAGCAAAAAACTGGGAGCAACCCAAGTATCAATAGGAGAATCAGTAGATAGATAATTTATGATATACACTCATATGATGGAATAAATTACTGGTACACATAAAAACATGGATAAATGTCGAAACATTATGCTAAGTGAAAGAAGCCAAAGGGAAAAAAAAGAGTACATACTAAATGATCCCAAACATATTAAGTAATAATACTTGCAAACTAATGTGTTATGTTAGAGATGAGATTCATGGTTGTCAGGGCTGGGATATGGACAGGGAGTGATTGAACAGGGACATGAGAGAACTTTCTGGGGTGATGGTAACATTGTGTATTTTAGTGGGGATATGGATTTTTCAAGTATATTCATCTACCAAGACTTATCAAATGGTACACATAAGATTTGTGTATGTAAACTTTACCTTCAAAAGGAATCACAAGCAAATGTGGAACTCTAAATATGTTTAGAGGTCAGTATACTGATATCTGCAACTCTGAAATACATCACAAATATAAGAAATATCATTGGATGGACAATGATAAAGCAAATAATGCAAAGTGTTCGTTATAGAATCCAGATATTGGATATACTAGTATGAGTGTTCACTCTACAGTGCTTTCAGCTCTTTTGAATGTTAGAAAACTTTTTTAAAGAAGCAAACAAATTCTCTTTAATGGCTCTCCACTGCCTATAAGATACATTGAAACCTCTTAGCCTGCTGCCCTATTTTTCAGCCCTGGACCACCAGGTTCCTTTTATTTCCAAACATATGAACTGGTAGTGCTTATCTTTAGGCCTTCACATTCTGTTTCTCTGTCTAAAAAGCCTTTCTTTCACCAGATGAATTCCCACTCACTCCCCAGAGAGTGCTAAGCCACCCATCCTTCAAGAGAAACCTTAGATTGCTTCTTCTCTGTTTTCCATAGCAACTAGACAATTTTACATTCCCATCAATAATATCTGAGGGTTCCAATTTCTTCACATCCTAGCCAACACTTACTTTTTTTTTTTTATTATAGGCATCCTAATGTGTTTAAATCAGTATCTCATTGTAGGTTTAATTTGCATTTCCCTAATGACTAATGATGTTGAACATCTTTTCATGTGCTTATTGGCCATTTGTGTGTCTCTGGAGAAATGTCTATTTGCATCCTTCGTCCATTTTAAAATCTAGTTATTTGCCTTTTTATTATCAAGTTGTAGAAGTTCTTCATATATTGTCAGTACTAGTTCCTTACTAGATATACAATTTGCAAATGTTTTTTTCCAGTTTGTGGGTTTGTCTTTCCATTGTTTTGGTGAAGTCTTTTAAAGCACAGAAGGTTTTGATTTTGATGAAATCCAATTTATCTTTTTGTTTTGTTGCTTGTGCTTTAGTACTAAAGTTTTTACTTTTGATATCTCTTCCTTTTTAAGTTTCTGGATTTTGGGTCATGTTTGGAAACTCATTCCTTGCCCCAAGACAATATAAAGGTTGTCCTACATTTTCCTGTAGTGCTTTTATGGCTTCATCTGTTTTGTATTTATTGGGAACTTCCATGGAAGGTATTGGATTAGATAAATTTATTTTATGTTAGTGGTTCATCAGTTGTCCCAATACTATCTTTTATACAGCATGCATTTCATAAAGGAACTGGGTTCATTCTGTGCTCAGAGGAAGTAAATAGAGCTCTGTTGCCAAATGAGGATCAAAGCCATGACACTGGCTTGGCTAACTGCAATGGCAGGTCTGTGTGGCTGACTTTAGTTCAGGTTCATGCAACTAGAAGGGATGGAAGGATCTTAAATGCCTATTTTTTTTCTAATTGTTTGTTTAACCTCATGGTGTTTCTAGCTCACATGTCCATCTGAGCAATGAGTCTCCCACAGGATGGGATCACTTTTTTTGAAGGGGAGAGAAATAACATGTTTTTTTTCTTAAATAATCTTAGGATAATGCTTCCGTACAGTCACAGGTTGTCAGTTAGTAAGGAATTTGTAGAGATGTGTTGAGATTTTGAGTCTTTTTGACAGCCTGGGAGACTACCAGGTCTCTCTGTTTGCATCTGGATGAACAATAGCCAGGGGCAGTCCTGTTTACATTTCATGTAACACCCTCTTAACTCAGCCATCATACAGACTGTGAGGTTCAAGTTGCTGTGAATCCTCATGACCATATCATTAACAAGGAAAGAGAGACTTGTGAACACTCAGCGTCATTTCACCTCAAGGTGAAAGAAAGAATAGGTTGAATTGCTCAGATCTGTCTGGAAATCTGGTGACATGCCAGTAGAGGACGCCTGTGAAGGGGTTTGCCTCTCTAGCACAGCAGAGGGGGGCCACTGATGAACCCCCATTGTGGTTTTTAAAATGCCAGTGTTCCTTGTTTTGTAAATAAACATTCATATCCAATCATGGATCTTTATAAAATGCATTTAACCCAAGGGTTCTGCCCCAGGTGGGAACATAACAAACCTCATTTTCTCCCACAAGACTCTTTTTAAAAAATAAACTTTATTTTTTAGAGCACTTTTAGGTTCACAGCAAAATTGAGCAGAATGTACAGAGAGTTCACATATCAACCCTGCTCCCACACACCCACAGCCTCCCCCATTACCAACATCCCTTCCCAGAGGGTGGACATTTGTTACGATCCAGGAACCACATTGCCCCAGACTCTTTGATTGGTGAAGGAAATGTCAGAGTTCATTGCCTCCAACATCCCAGGGCGGTTAGGTTCACAGCAAAATTGAGCAGAATGTACAGAGAGTTCACATATCAACCCTGCTCCCACACACCCACAGCCTCCCCCATTACCAACATCCCTTCCCAGAGGGTGGACATTTGTTACGATCCAGGAACCACATTGCCCCAGACTCTTTGATTGGTGAAGGAAATGTCAGAGTTCATTGCCTCCAACATCCCAGGGCGGTTCCCCCTGAGGACTCTGGGCTTTGTGAACAGTCTCCCTCCATTAATGAGTGTTATGTCCTGAGAAGAAGAGGGCGACATGAAAGGAGTGCTCAAGGCTAATTAATGTCTTGAAATGGCACCACTTGCTTGGCAGGGAGATGTTGGTCTGGGGAAGTGTGTGTGTGTTTGTGTGTGTGTTTTATGAAATTTTATCACATGTATAAATTCCTGTGACCACCACAGTCAAGATAAAGGACAGCTGTGCCACCGCAAGGATCCTGCCTGTTTTCCTTTTATAATCACAGACAGCCCCCCCTCCACCCTCCTTAACTCCTGTCAGCCACTACTCTCATCTCCATCTCTGTGATATTTCAGAACCTTTTGAATTTCAAAATCCTGGGTAAGGGATTGTCAACCTGCATTTGTGTATGTTCCAAGAACAACTCCAAATCTATGCCAAGCTGGAAGTGGAAGCCCTTAAAAACTCTTATGATTTAATCCTGTAACATCTCATAAGGATGTTGTATATGTACCTAAGTTACATGAACAGAAACATCTGGATGTGAAGAAAAGCAGATAAAGTACTAGGCACAGGAAGAAAGTAAATTGAAAATATTAACCGTAAATCTCACTGGCTGGTGGGATTATGAATATTTATGCTAGCCTTTCATCTTTTTTAAAACAAAGTTTTACATACACTTCAGATAAAGAATAAATACTTCTTACCATAGTAGATACATGGGACACACATACTGTTGTCATTCAGAGTCAGGCTCACCTGGCATGAGCCCAGCTCAGCCACCTGTTGGCAAGTCCTTTAGCTTCTGCTCTCTCTTCTGTAAGATGGGGATGATCTGCCCCATTTGATTGCAAGGAAATTCAATGGAGTACTGTGCATTAGGATTTAGGAGGTTTACTGGCTGGAGCCTGTGCAGGGGGTAATAAGAAGGGTCAGGGAATTGGAAAGGGACTGTTTCTCCTAACCCCAAGCTGGATGGTCACAGACTCACAGCGGACACTATGTGCTTTTGTCCTTTCTCCAGGTGATGGCCGGTATGGCAACAATGATGACTCTGAAGCTGGTGAGTTTGAGTCCCAAGATTTCTGTTGGAAACCACAAGGAGACATAGTGCTGGCCCACTCTCATTGCAGAGTTGGCCTTCCAGACCTTCCCCTGAATGTTTCTGCTAAAGAACTGTGAGGCCAACAGCAGAGGGACAAAGTCATTTAAAGGAATGAATCATGAAAACATGGATCCCCAGGGAGGTCATCCCATGGGAACCTTGCTGGCATGAGACCCAGAGACCTAACTGGAACTGAGTTAAATAGGGAGGGACTGCGCCATTTCCATGTCCACCTTTTAAGCTTCTCAAAATGGAAATCCTTATGGAAAATGAGAAGCATTTGGCAAGTCCAAGGGGGCACTATGTCACTTGAACCCTTTGATACAAATGGCTGGGCCTCTCAACACTGGCTCAGAGGTCCTGAGCATTAGAACAAACTTAGGTCAGTGTCTGAGCCAATCCTTATGGTACAGTTAGCTTGACCTTGAGTCTTCTCATTTCTCCCACCCTCACCTTTACCCAGGAATGTCACCAGAGACTGGCACCATTGCCGGTGTGGCCAGTGCCCTGGCCATGGCCCTGATTGGCGCCGTCACCAGCTACATCTCCTACCAGCAGAAGAAGTTCTGCTTCCGCATCCAGCGTAAGTGGATCTGCCTTGTAGCTGCTTGTGGCTGTGCCCGCAGCAATTGCATTCCCCCCACTCCTGGATGTGAACGAATGGTTAAGGCCTTTTGAGGGAAAGGGGAAGAAACATGAGCAAGTTGAGATTCTGGTCTATTCCACAGCCTGCCTGAGAGCAACTCCAGAGAAGACTTCCTGGGGGTGGGGCGGGGGAGTTGCAGTTTTGGAAATCCTGGAGGACAGGTCTAGGCCAAACTGAAGTGTAAACCAGCCTAGAAGAGAGGATGGGGCTGGACACATTGACCTTGGTCTTCCAGGGTTCCAGTTTCTAGAAGCCAGATTTCTGTGGGGGCAGAGCCCAGTGGCCATTGTGATGTTTCCTTGTCATAGAACAGGAGAGACCCTGGGATTTCTGTATGGCCTCAGATTTCACCCAAAGGAATTTGGGAGCTTCAGAGGCTCTGGGGTCAACAGCTCCCTCTACTGCTGTCATTTTTCTCCAGAGCAGAAGGCAGCAGTCTCTGGGGACCACTCATTCTGGCAACCTTTCCCTTCCTTTCAGATCCCAAGAAGTCACTGCCCTGGTGTCCCTGCTCCTCCCCGTGTGAGCCAGAACATCTTAAAATACGTGGAATTGTGAATTGTTTTAAAGGAGTAGGAATGCAAGAGAGAAACTAAATGTAGTTTTGCCCCTTCCTTTACATGCTAGATTTGTGAAAGCTAGGATGCATCTGTTTTATGCCATGGTTTTCTATAAGATGTGGTACAAATGGAATTCTATCTTGAAAGCTGTCAGGTACCCCATGGGAATGCTGTTGGGCGGGGGTGGGGGGGTTGGGGGGGTAGAAAAACCACACTTGTTGGTTTTATAAGCACAGCATTGATGTGTCACTGTTTGTTAAGAGTGTATCCCTAAGACTGGTGATTTTTAGTTCAAGGGACAGTATCTGACTCAGCAGATTTCCTCTTTCCTAAATTTAGGATTATCCCCTATGTGGCTTCTCTTACCCTTGCTCTAGGACTCTGCCCTTAATTCTAGCTGGGAGCTGAGCTCCCCAGAAAATTAACCCAAGTCCCAGAATGTTTTGAATGTGGGTATTGCTGAAATCTCCAACTACTTTTTCATCTGGCAATCACATTTGCTTCTTTTACTCTTATACAACATTCTTGACCAGGGCCACCACATACAGCTACACAGACTGCGCACAGTACTCTGGGGGCACCATCCACATCTCAGTACACAACCTGCGCAACTGTTCATGGTCTCCCTGCTGGAGATACTGTCACCTCATCAGGGATTGCGAAGCTTGGCTGTAGAGTAGTGTGAACAAGGAAGAGTCAGGAGTGCAGACCTGGAGGCTGGATTGTCCTTAGAGCTTTCCTTTGTCCCAGCATAAAATAAAAGAAACGGACTGGCTTAAAGCAACAGAAATCTATTCTCTGCCAGTTCTGGAGGCCAGAAGTCCAAGATCAAGGTGTCAGCAGGGTTGGTTTCTTCTGGGAGCTCTAAAAAAGGATCCTTTCTTGCCTCTTCCAGGTTCTGGTGGCCCTAGACGTCCCATGGTATATGGTTGCATCACTTCAGTCTCTGCCTCTGTCTTCACATGGCCTTTCCCTCTGTGTCTGACTCTCGTATTTTTGTCTCTTATACAGACATTTGTCATTAAATGTAGGGTCCACCTGGATAATCCAGCCTGATCTCATCTCAAGATCCTTGATCACTTCTGCAAAGACCCTTTTCCAAATAAGGTCACATTTACTGGTTCCAGGACATATCTTTTGGGGGGCCACCATACACTTCAGTACAGCATCGTTACCTGAAGAGTAAGAACTCCCATAGCCCCACTGATTAGGAATGACATACACCCTCATCTCATAGATGAACAGAGGCACAGACAGTCCTTGAAGGAACTTACTCCAGATGGGAAGCCATGAATCCAGAAGGGGTGCCAGTAGGTAGAAACAGGGAGGAGAAAAAAGGTTGATTTCCAAACCAAAAAAGAGATGTCTGGGTTGTATCTGTTTGTCTCTGTGGGGGTACTAAGGTGAAATGAAAATACATTATTTTCACATAAAACAGACAGATCTGAGCTTTTCAAATTGGATTATCAGGGAAGCCAAATAAAATGTGAACACATGAAGGACTTGGTGTGTAGAACTGAGCAATTTATATATTTGGGAAAGAATAAACCCAAAAGAGGGAGTGTTAATGACAGCTGAAAGTTATGTGGCAACAAAGCTGGAGGGCATGGATGTGACCTTTCTGGGGGATAGCCTCGAGGTGAGGGTATTGCTGGGCCAGGCAGTGGGGGTGAGCCTGCTGGCAGGCTGGCATAGGCAAGGGAAGCAAGTGGGCTTGTAGGGCTATGATGGCTCCAAAGAAGTTCATGGAACCCACTGGCCTCACAGATCCCTGAGTGGGAGCCAATAGGCCTCTCCCCACCCCCCCCCATTCAGTCTAAAGGAAGGCTTCCCTCCCTGCCACAGACTTCAGACTACACCCTCTGGCTCCTATATGAGTGGACCCTCCAAATGTGTCTTTGGCCCTGTTTTTCCCCCCCTTCAATCTGTTAATGATGTCATTATCATTGCTTAACCTACACTGTCCTGAATCCCTTTACTGGACACTTATGCAAGTGCTAACATCACCCCCAATTTACACAGAAGGGAATCAAGTGTGAAGTATCCCCCAGTTTTGAAAAGGACCTCTTTTGCTTCTGTATCCACTCCCTGTACTACCAAATTTCTCTTCAGAGTTTTTAAGTTGTGTCCACCCCATCCCTGTGGCCCCTCTCACAGATTCCACCAGTCCTCCTGGATCCTCCTGTCTCCTCATGCCACATCCGTGGTTTACCAATCCTGGGGCTTGTGCCCCCTGCTCTGGGGTCACACCACCACCATGGCCCATGCCTTTCCAGGGCCAGGTCTCCTAGTCCTCTATCTGGATGGTTCCATCAGCCTCCTGCCTGCCCCAGTGTTCCCCACACTTCCCCCTGCACGGAGCAGCCAGAAGGACCTGCTTAAAAATGCACAGAACCAGCTCTGCCAGGACCTCCCATGTTCCCCACTCCTCCCAGGTCATGGCTGAGCCCCTGAGCTTGTCATTCTGTGGTTGGTTCCACTCAAACCACAACCTTGCCCTTTCGCTCCCCTCCCCACCCTTGCAGCCATGGCCCCATAAGATTTTCTCCATACTCACTTCCTTGAGTGTGCCCTGGGGCCTCCAGCATCCTCTCTTGCTGTCCCCTCTCTTCACTTAGCCTTTCTCATTCTTTGGGCCTGGGTTACCTTCCCAGGAAGCCTTCGGACTCTCCCAGCCTGATGGCCCTGACTAGATGTCTCTCCTGAATGTGCACACAGCGCCCCCTGCTGACTGGTATGGAGATCATGAGGAAGGATTGGGCTTGGTGGTTTGTTTCTGCATCTGTGACTGCTGCCCTGTTCACTCTCTGGACTGTCAGCCTGTGGGAAGACTGTGTGTGCTTCATGTGTTATGTACCTGGTACCTACACCGGGTGGGAATCAGGAGGAGTCCCATGGATGTGGGGTGGCTAAGACCACTGTGAAGCTGGGGGCTGGGACTTCCTGCCCAGAGTGGCCTCAACTATCACTGCGTGGAGGTCAGGAAAGGCAGAGCAGAAACCACTCTGCACGGGGTGCACCAGCAAGCCCCCCAAGGGGTGGCGCGTGGCTACTAGGAGGGTCGCTCCCCAATGTGGCCCTCAGGGGCTTCCAGCATTTTCTGCCATCAAAAGGGCTCAGATTTTGGGGACCCTTTGCTTCCCGTCTCTGCCTTCAGTGCCAAGGGCCAGCGTGTTTCACCAAAAGCCCGTGTGCTTTGTTGCCGGGGGCTGAGTTCTTGATCCAGGGTCCTAAGTTTTGTGTCTTGCCTTCAGATGCAGCAGAAGGTCAAGGTAACAATGTACTTTGACTTACTTGTTTTTCTCTTCTGCTTTGGCCTCAATGCCTCATTGTCTCCCCCTCCCCACCCCCTCACCATCCTGCTGCTCTTGCTCCTTCTCACCGCTCTCCACCGCTCTTCCTTGGCACTTTCCAATTTGGCTGCAACCACATCATCTTTAGCTTTCCCTGATACACATGGGAGGGTGCCACCTGCCAGACTTTCTGTCCCTAGGCTGGGTTCAGGGATGTGTGGGAGGGGGTGAAGGTCCTGTGTAGGATTCAGATGCCCCCTGGTGGTCATCCCTGAGGAGCAAACCAGATGGCTGCCCACAGGTAAAAGCCAGTCCAGTGCATGCCAGGGTGGCAGCTGGACAGTGATCAGAGGTCAAGGAGTCTCCCATCCCCTGCCCATCAGCTGGGGATAGCTTTCCCCAGCTCCATCACCTACCCTGTCCCATATGGGGGCCAGCCACACCTGCTGACAGATGCCCACATTTTTACTGGACACATCTGGTGTCACCTTGAGCCAGCAAGCATCAGGGCATACAGGCATACTTTTCTAGGCAAGGAGCCTGAATGCAGCCTAGGAGGGTGGAGTGACTTATACTGGTGCCTACTCATTTGTTTGGTTGGTTGCAACCATGATCCAGTGTTCCCACAGGCCCAGAGCTCTGATGAGATTTCCAGTCTCTTGCCCATCTAAGGATAAGACAGGGGCTCTTGACTCTCCCCAAGCAGCAGGGGTTGGGTCCACTCCGAGTCCTGAGTAATGGCCCTTGTGTCCAGCATGGTGCTGCTCAGTGGCCAGAGCGCTGGCATGCAGAGCATGCTTTGTAGAGTCCCCAAGTCCCTCTCGAAAGTAGGTGGGAGAAAGCCCAAATAACTAGACCAGAGCAGCTGTTGCTGGGCCCTAGCACCTGTATGTGCTGGGGCAGGGCCAGTGCCATTCCCACTGCCTAGAGGATCTGGTTGGCCTCTCCATGCAGGTGTTGCCGGGAAGGCTGTACACTAGCAGGAGGCTTTGCAGGCATCTCCAAAGTGAGCTCCACTCAGCTATCTGCCCCTCTACTCAGCATCCATCAGTTACTCATGCAGTGCTTGGCTCCCTCTCTGCCTCCCTGGCCCCTGGCCCAGCATATGGACCCATGGATGACACTGAGCCTTGCTATTGGGTGCCCCCTCTGCTGAGCGGAGCTGCTGTCTGGCTCACAATCTACATGCGGTGCCACCTGCCCTATGCGGATGGGGTTTGTCAGGGGCCTTTGCCATGTGATATCATTTCTGAGGATGATGATGAGAATTGGGCAGGCAGCACACTCCCAGCCAGCCACTCTGCCTAGATGAAGACATTTAGGTGGCTCGGGGTGCAGGGTCCGAGTCTGTGAAGGGAGTTGGAGGACTTAGTCGGGAGTGCTTGATCATGGTGGGAGACCCTTTGGTTCGGTTGCTAACTCTGCCCTTTGCCCTTTGCAGAGGGTCTCAATGCAGACTACGTGAAGGGAGAGAACCTGGAAGCTGTTGTGTGTGAAGAACCTCAAGGTAAAGACTTTTTGGTCAGTGTCCCTTGCCAAAGGTCCCTTAGTTGGTGAGCCCAGCACTGTGCTAGGGAAGCAGGAAGTGCAGAGGTGTCTGTTTCTAGAATATCCAGGCAGAACAAGGGCTGCAGTGGCCCAGAGGTCCCTGCACTCAGCCCCTGATCAGATGGCCATCAGGGAGAGTTGGACCACAGCCAGGGCCAGCTGATGCGGTGTTGAGGACTTCGGTGCACTATTGGGGCTCGGGCTGTGCTCCTGAGTTATCTGAGCATGAGCCCCAGGCCCCTGTACTCCCTACAATGAAAATAGATGACTCCAGACAAATTCTCATAGAGCCCTGGGGAATATTTTACCCTAGACACATAAACTTTCAATTTGAAAATTGCCAAAGGCAAGAGGGAACTTGGTTAAAACATAGACCCTATTATTGGAACCCGTCTCCCTCCCTTCCTCCCTCCCTTTTTCCCTCCCCCTCCCTCATTTCCTCCCTTTCTCCCTTTACCCTCCCTTCCCCCCTCTCCCTCCCTCCCTGTCTCCTTCATGGTCATGAAGCCCTTTCTGGGTGCAGGAGCCATCAGCAATGGAGGCTGCATAAGGTCAAGCTGCTGGCCTGGAGGGCCAATTTCTCAGGGCAGATACCACCTATGGCTCCAGAATTTGAGTGGGGTGGTCAGGAAAGGCTGTTTTCCTCAGTAGAGGCTGGGTAGGCATCTTGTGGCTATATTAGAGGGCAGCAGCAGTGGGGGTGCACAGCGTGCCCCATGCCCTTGCTCAGGGTGGGTACTTGACAGTACTGCACTGAATGGATTAAACAGCCCTGAATTAAAACATGGGAAAACTGGCTCTACAGCAGCATTCACTATAAGCATTTTTAAAACTCTTAGCCAACATTGTGTGAGCAATTCTGTGGACCAGGTACTGTGTCGAGTGCTTTATTTAAAATCCGCCCAGCAACCCCATCAGAAGCATTCCCATTACAGATGAGGAAATGGGTTGCCCTGACTGGGGACAGAGTGGGCACTAGAGGGGAGTTTGGCCAGGAGGGGCTGTGCTGCCCCAGCCCCTGAACAGGACAGACAGGGAACCAGCTCGCTGTCCCCAGCAGGGGCTGACTTGTGTATTTGCGCCTTCTGTGCAGCGTGGAAATGAATCCCTTCTAACGGGTGTTTTCTCTTCCCAGTGAAATGCTTAGAACTGCCACCACAGTCCGCAGAGCCACCGCAGCCCCAGCCGCCTCGGATCTGAGGGTCCCTTGCAGCAGCCGCTCACAGTGGTCCTGCCACTGAGGACCAAGATCCTGATTTCATTTGGACCCGCAGCTGCTGTACTGTTCCTTTGATATCATTGGCTTCTCGTTGTTCTTAAGTTTTCTGGATGAGCTCTTGGTGTTTGTGAGTTTGGTTTCTGTGCCCTGCAGACAGGCTGGTGGTGCCCTCCCTGCCACAGATACCCTGAAATCCAGCCGTGGGAGCTGCTGGGTCACCCACTCCCCAAAACTAGACAATCCCAGGCCTTAGTGAGCTGGGGAGGGGGACCAAGCTGAGGGAGGCCAAGAGGACATTTGTGCTTAGGGGACAAGATATTGACCACAGGGTAGTGTGGTTCCTGACTCATTGGCGGGTTTCTGCCAAAAGGCAGCCCTAGTGTGACCTCAGAGAACAATCAGGGGCCCAGCTAACAGACGGTGCTTAGAGCCCCTGCAAGGAATGAACCAGTGAACACCAGGTAACACTGGGCACACACGACACCCAGGGTGGAGGTGGGGGGTCATTTCTGTCCTTTCCAATTCCAGCTTTGACACTCACTGCTGGGCTTCCAGAGAGCTGGTCCATGTGGAGACTTTACATTTTACATTTATTTAATTGCAAAAATGCATGCCATGCTAGTCCTGCCCTCAGAGTTTAGGAATTTTCTAGACAAGTACAAGCTGTGACTCTCAAGTCTAATTCCCATCTGATTCCATAGGGGGCTGGATGTGGTCTTCAGGCTGACATGATTAGTTTTTAGGAATCATTTATGTATTAGAAATGAATTTATCCCCCTTCCTCTTGTGTTCTTATTTGGTAGCAAAAGATACAGACATCAAGAATGAGTATCAAAGCCAGAAGCATGCTTGTTGTTTGCTTAGAAATATATTTGAGGGGGAGGGGAGGGGAGAAGAGGGGAGGGATGTTTGCTTGGTTTAGTGACATATGCCTGCCTTGGCAAGTTTATAGATATACTGTCTGGTCTGTTGATGATGAGCACTGGGGGCTTGCTCACTGTGGGAAACACCAGAACCCAGGGACTGGCTCCTCACTTGACCTGGCACTATCTTATTTGGGCTGGAGCAGAGCTGACTTCCTGGAATGTTCTCTTTGGCCCACATGTGGTCCTGTTTCTGGGAGCTCTGCTGTCAGAGGCTGAGCTAGAGTATAGAGTCACTGTCTACTGATAATAAGTTTGGAGTGTCAAAAGTCACTCCCTGAGAACATAATGAAGGTCAGCAGGAAGATAGGCTCCTATTTACACAAGTTCATGTGCCTCTGCCCTGCACAGGAGGCCCCACCAGTCTCCCAGGCTCTATGTTAGCTCCTTGTCTGCTGAGCTGGGAGAGCCGACTCCAACTTAAGGAAACAGTTGAAATCTGAACAGACCCCATAGGTTATCTAATGCATGCCTCATGTGTTCATTTATGCACTTGTTTTAAAAACATACTCCGTTGTGTGATGGTAATCAGTTCAGTTGGATTGTGTGGCTCAGTGCTGCCCTTCGGATCCATTCCCAGTGCAGGCCTGCGGGTCCTAAAATGCCTTCTGTGTGGGGGTACCTCCCAGTCAGGCCAGGGGTATGTGTCTTTGAGGGGGCGTGGAGCACTGAGGACACTGGAGGAAGGAAAATCTGGCCTCCCCATGTTCCAAGAGATTGAGCAGGGGAGGCATTGCTTGCAAGGTATGCCTTTTTCTAACACCTCCCAGCCCTCACTAGCCAGATTGTTGTCAACTTTGCTCGGCTTCCCCGTCCCAACGATGACAAGAGCTGATGGCCTGAATCCCTGGCCAGTGCTGGGCTGGAGGCAGCTATGAAGGATTTTTGCATCTATGGCTTGTTGCTACGTAGATAGATTGACCTCAGGACCCAGGAACAGCCAGTGTCCTAAGGACAGGAGTCAGAGAGGGATTGTGTTAGGATGTCTGAGCACCAAGGCCCTCCTGAGGCCTTTAACGGGGAAAAAAAGGGCCAGCGTTTGCATGTGATTAAATACTCTCTCCCTGCCACTGGGAACTGTGGACATTTTATAGAGAAGTCAGTCACAGCAGTGAGTAGGATGAGGAGTGATGTGGCCTGTATGGCCCCTGGCATGGCGAGGATTTGCACTGGAATTAGTTGGGTTTCTCCCCTTAGCTTTAACCTGAGGCTTGTGATGGCAAAGAACTTGCACCCCTCCATCTGGGATGAGAAGTCAACACGCTCTGTAAAGCCACATTCTGAGCAGCACTGACTTCAGTTGCCAAACCCATTTTGTTCCTCCCTAGCTCTCGGGGTGCCTTCTGCAGAATGAGTGCTCAAACCTGCTGCTAGTGGCTGGCCAAGCCTGGAAAGTCACTCAGCCACCCATTTGCAGAGCTGTCAACCCAGGTGGAGTACTGATACCTGCAGAAGCCTATGGGGCTTTTGTAACTATGTGATTATCTGAAAGTTGCATTGGCTGGTGTGGGCCTCTCTCAGATGATAAGGGAGATAAAGTGAGTGAATTAGAAGGGCCAGTTGAAAAGAGCCAATCCGTATCAGCTTAACGTGGTGGGCAGGTTGGGGGGGGGGCAGGGGAGGAGAGCTGGCTCAGTGTTATTAACAGCACGTGGAGGAAGGAGACATGGCAGCTTTGTGGGGTGGAATACCCTCTCAGGTCGGACCCATAGAACAGTGCCAGCCCACTGCCTTGGCTACTTGGGTTGGGAGTTAGTATCAGTTCTCTGAGGAAGAAGAAATAGAGACTGATCAAGTCCCCAGTACTTTTTATGTGCTTGTATTTAAGAGTGAATTGTAAACTGTCTCGTCTTTGCATTAAACAAAATGGAACCTAAGAGATTATTGCATTGTGGTGGCGTTCAAGGCACTTCCTTTGTCAGGTGATGCTGTTTTTTTCCCCTAATTATGATATGGAGCTGACCTCCTCCACACCCTCCCCAGCCAAAGGTATTTCTCTGGAAGGAGAGAGGTAGGTTAGGGCTTCCAGGGGGTGGCCCCCCTCAGGGTATAAGGAGCTAAGGCCTAGAGCTGTACAGTGATGTGCCTGATGTTCCAGGGTGCGTGGGGGGCAAGGGGTGGCGGGAGGGCAAAGGCTCCAGACTCCTGACTCCCAAGCCCACTGCTTTGCCTTCTTCAATGAAAGGCAGTATCGAGGGTGGCTGTGAGGTCTGTGCAGTGGTTTCAGCCAGAGAAACTGAGCAAGGAGGAGGGCCCTGCACCCCATCACTCATTGCTGCTGTGTGTGGAAAGGCCTGTTTGGGATAAAGTGTGCTCTTGTCATGACCCCACAGCTTGGCTTACAGACTGAAAAGACAGCCTGACATTTCAGCATGAGCAAGATGCGGTGGACACTAGGAGGGCTTCCACATTGAGGTGGGTGACATTTTTGTTCTAGTAGTAAAACAGCACTAAGTCTTCAAACCCAAACCCACCGAGTGACTTTTCAGTGCAGAGGTTCTGCATGGCCAACTGGGGTCTCACACAGTGGCCCTCCCAGCCTTGCTACTCAGCTGTCACTGCTGAGGACTACAGCTACAGTGACTGCTCCATGGAGAGGGACAGGGATCGAGGTCTTTTTAAGAAGGGTGAGCCTCAGGGGTACCATGGTTTCATCCAAGCCCTTCCAGCCCACCAGAAGGCCAGCATTCCTTATGTAGACTTGGGGTGGGGACTCTGGGGCTTCTCAGAAGTGCACCCAGTTTTAGGCTCCAGGACTCATGGCCTGGAAAGACAGCTCTGCCTCCTCAGAGCTGCACCTGGTTCTCAGGTGTCTCCAGTCCTTTCCTGTGTCCTTAACATTTTTTCAAGGTTAAGGTCAAGAGGCATTTCAGATTTTTAAATCACAGTACTTACCCATTTCAGCCAAAACACTGAAGACTTAAGATAAATTGCATTTATGATTTAGTAAATGAATTCAATTATTTAAAGGCACATAATAAAATAACATGGATTGAATGTTTACCATTACTAATTTCCCCCAAGGGGGGGGGGGGGGGAAATCTACCAAAACACTTAAAAAAAAGAAACCACAGAGCAAAGATATTATCATTTTAATTACAGATTGTAATATAGTGCATCAGGTGAGGCAAATACGATACTGTACCAGTTTTTAAAAATCTGCACCGTAAAGGTTTTACATTCTAGTACACTTAAATAAAACTGAAAAAAAGAACTGCTTAGGTAACAAAACTATACTTCAAATTATTTTAGAAATAGTTTTGTGCTAGGAACATATAAAGGAGAATGATCTCAATTGCTGCTTTCAAATCGAATGGGAGTTTTGAGGGCTCCTCCTAGGGCCCCACATGCAGAGGAGGGTGCGACAGCCCAGCCTAGGCCCCCACCCTGCCCAGCACCAAGCTAGGTGACCTGGGCAAGAATAAGCCCTCTCTGCTGCTCTGGTTCTGTCAGAAGCCTCATCCAGTCCCCACCAAGTTTAATAGTCTTAGTGCAGCTGGGGATTAAAGGATATTTCTAGGGAACAAAAAAAGGGAATGTCTCCATTTAGGAAGAAAACAGTGTATCAATGAATAATCCAGTTTATCCATTTGTAAATAAGCTTTCAGATATGTTGGGAGCATAAATCAAAAGCTAATATAAATTGAACTATGATTTAGAAACAAATCCCCAGCTGATAAAAATGGAGAATTCATTTTAGGTAATCAAATTACTTGGAAGAAGTACTTCTGATACCTGACAAGTACCAGATAATTTTCTTTAAGAATCAGAAAGTTCCAAGTTGAAAAAACATCTATTCTCTTAACTATTTGTAAAAAAATCTTTTTTAAGAATATATTTTCAAAAATAAGGTCAATATGTAAGACTGTGCATGGCGTCCACTAATTAAACAAACTAGATATTCCAATGCAGTTGTACTCAGCTCTAACCCTATGGGCTTCTGAGGCTCCCTGACTCCAAAGGCAAGCTTAACTCCTGCAATGATGGGGGTCCCAGTGATTGGCAGAAATGGGCAGGGCAGGGGGAGGGTTTGGCCTGCTGGGGCGGGTACAAGATTCTGTAACACCACACAGAGGAACTCAGCTCTAGCACTAGTGGATGGACCAGCTGATGGTAAATTAGTTCCTGCCCACAATGACAGAGTCCCAGAACCCAAAGTCAGGAGGGAAGGCTCAAAACTGGGAGGAGAGGCCTGGCCGGAGAAGGTTGGCTCTGAGATGAGAAAACCCAGGGAAGTGCGTGTTATGCTTTTGGCAACTGAAGCCACAGCTCAGTGGTTGCTTTAAAATACTGACATGAAGTCATATGAATAAACTGAATTAAAGAGATCTTCAGACAGGCAGATAACAGGTGAGAGCGGACTCAGAAGCAGGAGGCTGCAAGGTCAGACAGGCCAGGAGCTGTGGACAGCTCTGTGAAGGAGCCCACGGGGAGGCCAGCGCAGAGCTGCCAGAGTCCTCCCCCTCTGCCAAGCCATCCCGAGGGAAACTGCTGCTATTGCCATCAGTGGCCTAGGCCACCTCAGGAGGCAAGTACCAAAGTCAGGTGAGGCTAGAACACAATGCCTTTTAAACAACAGTATTCAAGTCGCGTTTTAAATGTACCACATAAAAGTTATCATGAGCTGTTTTTGAAAAGAATTTCTCACAGTCCAGTTAGCAGATACCTCCTGGGGTGACTAGTATAAACATAAAAAAGGACATAGGAAAATAAATGCATATTTCTCTTTTTAAAAAATACCTTACATGTACACAACAGTAATTGGTACAGGGGCCCCCTTGCAAGAACTCTAGAACAGAGGGCAATGGTCTGTTTTTCCCCCAAAATAGTTAACTTTAAAACAGTCAAGTTGTAGCAAGGAGCTGAAAGAAGCCCGGGGCTGGCAACATGGTCTCTAAGTAAATGGTGTTTGTTTTAATGAAGGAAAGAAATGGTATGAGACTTTCTTGAACCTAAGCACTATGTTCCATTCATTATGGCTTCTCCCAAGCGCCTGGGCTGGTCACAGGGTCAATGGGACAGACAGCCACCCCTGAGAAACCCAACAGGAGGGAAATGGGATGTTCAGAAAACAAAAAAGTATAGACGACAGTGGGAGCTGGCACCTAGCCACACACAGGGTCGCTGGTTGGAAGTGCTGTCCAGATGTGGAGGGCACTGGGCCTAATCCTAAAAGACAAGATCACAATCTATAGCCGGAACAGGTCGCAGGACCCTTGCCTGAGTCACCCGGGAAAGCAGTGGAGCCGCAGGATGGCCTTGATGGCTGGACTCACCGGAACTACTGTCTCTGCAGCATCAGACTGAGGTGTGGACGGGTGTGACTGAGTGGGAAGGTGAGGAACCCCGCTCAGATGGGGATGAGGCTCGAGTGGCCACCTCCCGCTGCAGGTCCTCCACCCTCTTCTGCAGCTCCGCCCTCACAGCCAGCAGCTCCTTGAGATTTTGGTGAATTGGCATCTGGGGGCAAGCAGGACACAGCTGCGTTAGCCACTCATGGGCACTTTCAGCATGCAGATGCTTCTAACTGCAGGATGAGTTCACAACCAAGATGCCCATGTGTCCTCATGCCAAGCTACAGGGACTCTCTACCCAGGAGCCAGATGTTCCAGCTAACCCCGTGGGGATGCTTTTGTCACCCTGTGCTCCCCTGCCAGCTTGGCCAAATTCCCAGAGGACACAAGCGGGCTCAGGTGAAACCTCAACCTGCGCATCAGGCAAGGCCACAGGTACTGACTGGTCGTAAAATGCTACTGGCTTCTGCCCCTCGCACGCATACATACCTCCATTACCTCTGAATTTTTACAATTTTATAAATAGCTCTACTGACTAAAAATGCTTCTGTTAAATCAGCACTTTCTACAACTTGAAGTTTTATTCATTTTCATTGATTGGAATAGGAGCTAGCAGAAGCCCCTGGAGAGGGCAGTGCCAGCAGAGGGGAGTCCCCTGGGGACACTGGCTCTTCCCTCCCTCCTTCCTTCCATACAGCTAGGCACAACCACTTAACACCCTCTAATGCAGCGGTTCTCAACCTGTGGGTTGCAAACAATAAAAATACTTCCTGCATATCAGATATTTACATGACGATTCATAACAGTAGCAAAATTACAGTTATGAAGTAGCAACGAAAATAATTTTATGGTTGGAGGTCACCACAACATGAGGAACTGTATTAAATTGCGGCATTAGGAAGGTTGAGAACCACTGCAATGGCTTCTTCGTGCCACCCTAAGGGTAACAGCCTGGCCTTGTCCTCAAGGCCCTGTGTAGTCTGACCCCAGCCTGCCTCTCCTGCTCACCTCTCACCAGGTCCAGCATTCCAGAACCTTCCAGGTATTGGAAGCATGTGCTGTCCCTTCTGCCTGGAGTACTCTTCCCCCAGCCTTTTCACACACGTGCTTGCTTCAGCCCACAGGGACCAGTGTAAATAGCACATGCTCTGGGGGTGGGGGGACACTTTTGGACTCTCCATTCCTACCAGGCCTGTCTATTTCATCATTTACCTCCACCAAAGACTGAACTGTCCCATTAGGGAAGCCAATGATGACAAGCCTGACTGGAAGAAAGAGGGAAGGTGGAAGACAGATGAGAGGGTCAGAGATCAGAGAAGGGGGAAACAGATGAGAAAGGGACAGATGAGAGGGAGGGGCAGAGACATGAGAGAAAGAGGAAGAGAGAAACAGAGACAAGGGGGTGACAGAGATGAGAGGGGAAGAGAGGGACAGGCAGAAAATGAAAGCGGGACAGAGATGTGAGTGAGCGAGCCAGAGAAGAAAGGAAGTGAGATGAAAAAGAGACAGGGCAGCCAGGTGCCCCCATCATAGCACAGTGGCTTGGTGACCAGCACGGAAGAGGCCGAGAACAAACTCCTGACTTTGGCAGGTCAGAGGAAGAACGGAGCAACAAGGCGCAGCCCTACCACCCATCAAGGTAGGAATTCATTTTACACTTGTACACCCACAAGGTCTCAGTGAGGCTAAGGGCCTTGCCCCACATCAGGCATCAGAGACAATCACCGCCAGAAATAGGATTTGGCCCTGGCTGCTTGGGGGCAGCCTTTCCTTCCATAACTGGCTGCACCAGGAGGCCTTGTGTGACTGACTTTGGCCACTAGGGGATGAGTGGCTCAAGGAGCAGGCCACTCCAAAGAGGAAAGCAGAACAGATTTTGGAACTGTGCTTGTGAGGAAGCTTTCTGGAGGCCAGATGATTGCTAACTGATATCATGGCACTCTGCACAGATGCCACAGAGCTAAGGACAGATGCTCGCTGGTACAGGGATAAACTTTACTGAACATTTAAAATGAGTTACTAATGGCTTACTGGCCACAAGTGAAATTTTTTAAAAAATCTGTATTTAAAACATTGACCAATGACCAATGTATACTAAGTGTATACTATTTGTTTTCATGGAGTAAAGAGTTGAGACTGTGTCTCTCCAGCTTCAGATGTTCTTCAATAAAGAAAATATTTTACAACTCTTAGAAGTTAGCATTTTTGCTACTCAAAGCACACACTAAACCCAGAACCCGTTTGGTATGTAGAAATGTGCTCTGGCTGCCTTAGTGCTGAGATCCCCTCACACCAGTGTGGACATGTGTGCTTCCCTTGCTACCCTGCGCTGTAACATAGGAAGCGGCTAGTAGTCCCTTGCACCACATTAGAAATCTGCATGAGACACGGTAACAGCAGCTGGGCCCTCATATAGTAAATGGAGGGGAGTTTCAAATAAGGGAAGGGTTCTAAAGAAGGTTCTGAGACCACCAGCTATTGCTACCATGAGAGGCAGAGTAGGGGGTGACTCAGCGGCAGCCTGTGGGGCATGGAGTCCATCAGCCTGGGAGGAGGGGTGGCAGAGGCACAGGTGCAGCGGAACCTGAGGCCTGGTTCTAGGACCTGCTTGGACAGAAGGACAAGTACTGGGCTGAGCGGGCCCTGATCATGGAGTTCTGGCAAACAGGCCTCAGGTCTTGAGGGTGGCATGGCTGACTCAGAGGTTCCAGAGGTGGAAAGGGCTTCTGTAGCTAAAGCTTCGTGGAACAGATGGAATGACACAGGAAAAGAAGAATCAAGTGATGAGCACCTTGGGCTGTGGTGTGAGAGAAAAAGGGAGCTGGTCAGGAGATGAAAAGCAGTGCCTTGGGCAGCAATTTGCACCTGTCAAACAGAACCTGGAGCTAAGTCTACAGTGAGTGACTTTTCCAGTAGGGTGGGAAGGTTAGTGAAGTGACAGTACCTTCGAAGTTCAAGTGCCAAGCCAACTGAAAAGGGAAATGAACAGTTTGGTCTTCCCCAAGGTTAGTGGGGCTTGGGATTGTTATAGGTGGAATCATATCCTATCCCCTCATTCATATGTGGAAGTTCTAACCCCCATACCACAGGTTGTGACTATATTTGGAGAAGTGTTTTTTATAGAGTTGATCAAGTCAAAGTGAAATCATTAAAGTTGTCCCTAATCCAATATGACTGTTGTTCTTATAAAAAGGGGAAATTTGAACACAAACACACATAAAAGGAAGATGATGGCCATCTACAAGACAAGGAGAGAGGCCTGGAGCAGATCATTCCCTCATGGGCCTCAGAAAGAACCAACCCGGCTGACACCATTCATCTTGTCCTTCTAGCCTCCAGATGTGGGAGACAACACATTTTTATTGTGTGAGCCACCCAGTCTGTGGTACTTTGCTATGGCAGCTCTAGCAGATTAAGACAGAGATGAAATGTGCCTGGAGAGACTGAAGACACTGAATGAGGGAAGAATTGAGAAGGAAGAGGGCAGAAAGGAAAGGCAGATTTGTGTATCTGTGGCCAACAGAAGCGATGATGTTAAGCAAGGCCCTGGAAACATACTCCAGGTGGACTGCCAGGAAATCCTAACAATATTTAACTTTAAAAAACAACTTCAGCAGAAAGCCTGTCCACGGAGGTGAGGGCTGCCTCCCATCAGTATGTTCCCCACCTAGCACCAACCATGCCCTGGCCACCCATGTGGAGGAGATTGAGGGTGGGGCAGGACTGTGTAGAGCAGAGGTTTGGGGGAGCACCATAGGGACCCTAACTGGTAGTGTCTGAACCACAGCTCAAACTCAGCCCCTGAAGACCAAGGGTGACCACAGCCGGGCTACCTGGCCTTGATGTGCACTGTTCTCTATTTTTTTAATCTCAGAAAATATCAGTGAAAAAGTGTGGCAGGAGAGGGAAACTTTACCCCTTCTTCAAGGGGCACTGTTCTGCGGCTCAGCACAGGCCCCCTTTCTGCTGTGCTACTAGAATCTAGAAACAAACCACGATGCATTTTTCAAATACCCTTCCACTGACTCCCCATATGGTACCCTGCATAATTGGTACTGCTACCCCCATAACACCTCTGAGTCAAGTTCCTGTAAAAGCTGAGTCAAACTTGGTAGCTAATAATACTTCATCTATGTACCATCAGCATAAGACAGAGGTGCTAAGATTTTTAACTCTAACCCAGCAAATGGCATCTGGGTTGGTGTGTGAAAGGAGCCTGCTGGAACATGACTGCAAAGGGTTGAACCCTGAGAGTCAAGGGCAGAGGGCCTTCAGTATAATGTGCTTACACCTGGCATGCACCCATTTCTGAAATACCATCTTTACTTGAACAGAAAGACATACTCTTTTGAAAAGAAGAAAAACAAAAAGATACCTGAGGCCTCATTCGTGGATTCCATCGCACGTAATAGTTTACCCATAATTCCAAATGACTCATACTAGCAACAGGATATAAGACGTGGTTTTCATAATTCACAAAGAAGGGATTAGAAAATTCATCGAGCTGACTATTGATATAAGACCATAAGGATATAGTTTTCGTATATATATCCTGAAAAACAAAAAAGGAATACATTGAAATAAATTCACCTTTTCTTCACATCCTTAAGAATTTGTATTACATAAAGAAAAGGACTTGCATAACAAATGAATTGGATTCAAATTTTTATTTGAATTCAATTTACTAAGCCCCACACCTATCCCTCTGTCATGCATCACCTCATGCTAGGGATGACACAAAAACACACACTGATTACTGTCCTGGAAAAATGGATTGCTGAGTTAACATCTGGCAACTGCGTCTGTGTGAAGGCGGAATGAGAACTTTCTAACAGCCATGGAATGATGGGGCTCATCCATAGCAAATACATTTTTAATTCTGGTTTGCAGTTTGTTTTTTGACTCTTAATATTAATGACTGTGGGTAGAATTTACAGATAAGATTCCTTTCATTGGGAAACCATGGCTCTCTTGTGCAAAACACACCAGGGTTGCAGGCTGGAGAAGCCTTATATAGAGAAGTCAATATATCATTAAATTATATCTCCCCACCACCTGATTTTGTGGTACATGGTTTAGAAATGTTATAATCATTTACATTGCTCATGTTTATAAATGCTGTCATCATTTACACTGCTCATCTGAATGAGAATATCCTGGTGGGGCAGGTAAATATTAAACATGGATCAAGCCCAGTGACAAAATAAAAACAAGAAAATGATGAGGCCAAGAGTATTTTCTACCATTCTGCTCTTTCCAAGACAGCTGACTTCCTCACAAGCTATCCAGACTTAGAAAATTCAATTCGGACCTTTTCATTACTTTATAAGAGAAACACCAGCATAATTCAAGGGACCCTGAATAGCCAAAACAATTTTGAAAAAGAACAAATTTGGAGGTCTCACATTTGCCAATTTGAAAACTTATTACAAAGATACAGTAATCAATACAGGTGGTAGTGGCATTGGAGGGATATAAATGTGGATTATTGGAATAGAAAAGAATACAGAAACAAATCCTCACATTTACAGTCAACTGACTTTCAATAAGAGTGCCAAGAAAATAGGGGAAAGATGATGGTCTTCTCAACAAATGGTGATGGGATAACTAGATAACCACATGCAAAAGAATGAAATTGGACCCTTGCTACACATTGATGGGAAGTGATTGCTAATAGGTATAGGATTTCTTTTGAAGGTGACAAAAATTTTATGAAAAATGGTGATGGTTGCACACTCATTATACTAAAAACCACTGAACTGTACACTTAAAGGGTGAATTTATATCTCAAGAGAGCTGTTTTTTTAGAGTACATTTTAGCAAAAAAAAAAAAAGGGGGGGGCTACACCTACGTCCCTCTCCATTTAGTCTCCCTTCTACAGTGGCACTTAATGGGAAAGGCACTTGAGCAACTTGGAAAGCAATGGACAGGATATAATGCACTTACCTCTTTGAACCGCTGCTGTTCACAATTGCACAAGAAAGTCCCAAAGAGACAGCTATAAAGGTGATCCAAGATTGTAATCAAGAATAGCTCATTAAATTCGAACGCTGAAGGAAACTTAAATGGAGAGGGAAATAAGGTTAAAGTTCAATGTCTAAAACAGATTGGTACAATATTTTTGTGAAAACACAGCTGACACATAACTATCTACAGTTTCAAGTCCAAGCTTATAGATCTGGCTGAACTGGAAGCAATAAAAATTGTACCTTCAATGCCTAAAAAGCTTATGGAGCCCTGGCTGGTGTGGCTCAGTTGGTTGGGCATCCTCCCATGCACCAATGGGTTGCTGGTTTGATTCCTGGTCAGAGCACATTCCTGAGTTGTGGGCTCAACCCCCTGGGGGGCAGGGGGTGTGTGGAGGTAGCTGATCAATATTGCATTTTCACATCCATGATTCTCTCCCCCCCTACCTTCCCCTCTCTCTAAAAATCAATTAAAAATCTAAAACAAAACAAAACACAAAAACTCATGGAGCTCCCATTTCTCCATGATGGTAGAAGTTCATATTCACTCTTCTGTCAGAAATAACTAGAAAGCTGGACAAGATATATGAAACATCTGTTTTCAGAAATTAGCAACAGACAGCATGGGACTGTGACCCCCAAGAGAAAGGAAACAGGGAGGTGAGCCCTACTATTGTCTCAGGTTTCCACCTAGAGGTACATTCTGGGCCATGGAGAAGGCAGGGGAGGGATTACAGGCACAGCATATATCAGAAGTGACTCAAGGAAAAATAGAAAGTCTATATGTATTAAAGAAACAACTCATAATTTAAAACCTTCCCATGGAGAAAACGCCTTGCACACACACCCCCGCCACCAATATATAAGCAATTGAACCTGGCAATACATAAAAAGGGTAGCAATACATGTGGGGTTGATTTCAGGAAGGAAAGGTTGGTTTAACATTTGAAAATCAATAATGTTACAAAAAATCAGTTAGTGAAATTCACCATATTAACAGAATGAGGAAGAAAATCACATGATCACCTCAACTGTTTTAGCTAATTTTTTTTCTATATATTTTTATTGACTTCAGAGAAAAAGGGAGAGGGAGCAAGAGATAGAAACATCAATGATGAGAGAGAATCATTGATTGACTGCCTCCTGCACGCCCCCAACTGGGGATCGAGCCTGCAACCCAACCTGGGCACGTGTGTGTGCCCTCAACCAGAATTGAACCTGGGACATTTTAGTCCCCAGGCCAATGCTCTATCCACTGAGCCAAATCAGCTAGGGCTGTTTTAGCTAATTCTTAATGAGATTTTGGAGAATTCTAAAACAAAGACTTTTCCTTTGCTAGGAGATTCTAACCAGTAGCTGGCATTTAGTAGCCACGAGAAGGCAATCTGGAAATGATAATGATTCTAGTAACAGGCATGTACTGGGGGGGGGGGTACTACCCTGTGCCAGAATTCTAATTTTAAAACAAAGTGACCTACAATAGAGGACTAGATAAAGAAGATGTGGTATATATACACAATGGAGTACTACACGGCCATAAGAAAGGATGAAACGGCATCATTTACAACAACATGGATGGACCCTGAAAACATTATGTGAAGTGAAATAAGTCAAACAGAAAAAGCTAAGAACTATATGATTTCACTCGTATGTGGAATATAAAACTGAAACTTATGAACACAAACAGCACTGTGGTGGTTGTCAGAGGGAGGGGGGAGGGGGAAGAAAAGGGTCCTAATATGAGGTGACAGAAGAATATCTGACTTTGGGTGGTGGGGACATGGTTCTATATACAGATTTTGTAAATTAGTAATCCACACATGTAACCTATATGTTCATGTTGACTAATGTCACCCCAATAAAATAAAATTATAAAAAGAACAGCAAAAACACACAAAAAAACATAGTGAAATATTAATCATCTACTGAATGAAACAAAGCCAATTAGAGCAAAACCAAATAGAACTACCCAGCATGTTTTTGTCAGTTTAAAGACCTATTCCCCACTCAGAATGATATTGGCACACTATCATGACTAATCCTGTCATCTCTAGAATGACAACCAGGGTCACTGATAGACAAGTTTATTTTTTAGCTTAGTCAGGACTGTCCAAACTCCAACTGAAATTATTTTCCTCACCAGGATATTTCATTCTCCAATTTAACCAATTCTTCTCAGTTACCTTGGATTAAGGTCAGCTTCTCTCCATCTTAAGGATTGCTCTTATAGAAACACACAATTCTGTTCTAAGAAGCCCCATCAGAATACCATTTATTCAGTAACTTCTAGGAGCTGTGGTGGTTGTTCCTTTTAGCATTCTTGTTCTCAGATTATCTAAATTAATGATCAACTAAATCTGTCTGACATGTTAAAAATAGCTACTGGTTAATCTTCTCTCAGAGCCTTTAAGATTGCCCCTTACAACTTTGACAATGGCCTCACATTCCAAATGGCTTTTAAAAGGCCAAGTGTATAATATGTCCACTTTCCAAGTCTTTTACTATGCATCTTAGTTATGCCCTATTCACAAATTATTAGAACCATGAAGTTTAATTTTAAGCAAATATATAACATTTGTGTTTATTGAAGTTTTATTAAATCAAGGATAGGAATGGAAAAATCTATTTTCTTTTCAAACATTTAAAAATATGTTTACTAACAGGACAGCAAGACTTTTATTGACATACTAGAGGCCTGGTGCATGAGATTCGTGCACTGGAGCGGGGAGTCCCTCAGCCTGGCCTGCACACTCTAGCAGTCCGTGACCCCTTGCTCCTTATCGCCTGCCTGCAGTGGAGGTGGGAGAGGCTCCGGCCACCACCACTGTGCTCGCCAGCCGTGAGCCCGGCTTCTGGCTGAGCAGTGCTCCCCCTGTGGGAGCGAGCACACAGACCTCCAGGGGGCAGCTCCTGCATTGAGTGTCTGCCCCCTGGTGGTCAATGCCTGTCATAACGACCGGTCGTTCTGCTGTTTGGTCGATTTACATATTACACTTTTATTATATAGGATTTTTGAATCTTATGAGTCTTCATTCCTAAGCGTGCATTCTGGATCTGGGAGCTCAGTTAGGTACATTCTAAAACCACTGACTCTGAGCCTTATTCTGGCCTAGTGGGCACCAGTTATGGAAGGTGACATGGGGCAGCCCTCAGCCCAAGCCCATCAGCACTCAAGACACTGGAATGCAAAGGCTCCTACTCACCTCAACTGCTATTCTCATTCAAAGGGCATTGTGGCATTAAATTCAACTCAGAAAACATTTCATGAGGGTAAGTAGCAATAATTTGTTTTGGCCTCTTCTCCTGGAAACTATACCATTTACATAAAAAGTGTGGTGTTAAACACTCCACTGAAATCTACACTAATAAAAGAGAAAGATGCAAATTGACCATACCTTTGCGACACCCACCAGCCAATCAGGAGTATGCAAATTAACCCAACAAAGATGGTGGTTAATTTGCATATGCAGGCGCCAAGTGGCCGGGGGCAGGGCAGGATGCTTGCGTCATTGCAGTGGCGACGATGCAGGCGTTCCCCACCGCCCCAGCCGCTCAGGGCCTCTGGGCAGCGTGGGAAGGCAGAAAGGCAGCTCCAGGCCAGAGCGAAGGCGGTGCTGGCAGCCAGGGGAAGGAAGGCCCATTCTTGCACGAATCTTTGTGCATTGGGCCTCTAGTCCATAATAAAATTCTGCACTTCTTGAGGGGCAAAAATAACAACAACTTAAACTTATCCAAAAAGGTAGAGTTTGTTAAAGTCTGGCTGTTGTGGAATGTCTTTGAGACTCTTTTCTAAAGAATCCCTCAATTTTCCCCTTAGTTCATTTTATATCAATTTGTGCACAGAGATTAGTTTATTTTATTCTGAGTTTTCTGACAGCTTTATACTGCATTAACTTACTTGATTTAGCAGTAGACAACCTAAAAATAAGTTAATCTTGTTATATTAACACATCTTTTCTAACAAGCTACATCCATTCACTTGTGACTTAATTGATAGATAAAGACTAATCATTCATGTTTCTACATCTAATGCACTAACAATATCATTTAAAAATAATTATGCACATTTCATGGACAGAGTCTTAGAGCTGTGAAAGGCATCTGAAATTTTCTAATCCAAACCCCTTATTTTCTTTCTTAAAAACAAGCAGTACAAAAATGATGCAGATTAGACATGAAAATAGGCACTAATCAACATGACAAGTGGTAGTCAGATTGAAGATGTTAATAACAGACGCACATTTACCTAGACATTTGGGAGGAATAAGCTACTTCACATCCACGAAGTGGTGCTTATCCCTTCAGAAGCATCAGAATTATTTCTTGTGTTCAATTTTTTAAAATATATTTTTATTGATTTCAGAGAGGGAGAAAGAGATAGAAACATCAATGATAAGAAATCATTGAT